TGAGTACTATATACTCAGTAAGAGTAAATTCAGTTTTGCTAGCCAGAACAAATAGGAGTAAACAGGCTTGCCCGCCTCTAGATGTCATATAATTTATTTGGAGAAGTCTGACAGATTAATTAAAAAATCATCAACATTAAAACTGATGCCATATTGCTGTGCACCTATTTTTTTGCAGCAGTTTAGTTTTGATATTTGAATGATTTGATGATTTTAAATTTAAGTATTTATTTATTTTGGACATTAATCTTTTTTTTAATATTTTTAAATATTTTATCAAATATCAAAGCTATTAATGTGTTTTTAAAATTGTAATCTAATTAACAATGCAAAAAAGATATTGGTGAGTTTCATACTAATATAAATTTATAATAATTTTATTTTTTCTCTTCTTCCATTGCTTTTGCACTTTTTTGTTGCAAAAAATGCGAAAAAGTTACTTTTAATCTTAAGCATTATTAATCTTGACTTCATTTTTGTATAAATTGACATCATTCATGATTACAGATATACAATGTTATGTTTATATTGTGCACATTATTTTACATAAATCTTCACATACAAATACTTATGTGTCATTTCTGCTAATTTCTAAATTTTTATTAACTTTTATTAACTTAATTAATTTTTGCAAAAAAAGAAGACACACATGCATATTAATTTTATTTATACATAATATATTCCATTATTTATACATAAATAATATTATATTCCATATATTTTTTTCTAGTATTAATATACTAGATGTTATTTATATTACATGCTGTTTTATGAGAATTGATTAATTAATGAAATTATACAAAAATTTTATTGAAATTAATACTTTTTACATTCACTGAATCTAAATAAAGTATCTCATATTCATTATAATATTAAAAATAAAAACAAATCGCGAAAAATAATTTTTCTCCACTTTATCATAGAGAAAAACTTTTAAATGAATCAGAAAAAGTAATATTAATGATAATGATAATGATTACATGTTTTCATGCATTTTCATAGAATGAAAAAAGGCTATATATAATTTCTTCTTTATTATATATATTAAAAATAACTTTATTATAATAACTGGAAAAAAATAGTATTTATTCAAGGAATCGATATTTCTTTCATTGATGTAATATATATGATCTTTAAAGTCTTAATTGAATTTCTGAAATATTTGCATATATGTTATAAAACTTGAATTTGCTACAATGAAATTGAATTTTGCGATTAGAATGTATACAATGAGTGTTTTGCATGCCTGTTATTGTGATTACATACGTATGGTTTGCTTTAATAAATAATGCAATTATAACGAGCATGTGAGATAGAGGGGGTATATACATAACATTTATATAAAATGTAACAATACATAATTTTATCGTCGATAATGCAGGCCGTGTTTAAATATACGTTTAATCATCTGTTTTATCCGCCGTGACCATTATTGATCTTTCGGTGATCGTGATATCGTGAATATTACTTTTGACATATTAGCATTCTATGCAGACATATTTACGGACGCTTTATGTCTCTTTTAAAGTGATAAATAAGTAAAATAGACAGAGGTGCTGTATATTTAATTGACATGACAATGAATAAGGAAGAATTCGAACAGAACTTTACGTTCTGCTGTTTGCTTTTAAATCGAAGCATCCGCCGAGATACTTCGCATTAATCAAAAATTGTTTGATTCTCCGGAATAAGGAGCTTAGGAATGGATACTAATTGGTCTGTCCTTGCAAGACAATATGTTGGGCATAACTTCAAGTCGTAAGTTATATATCAATACAGGTTATATATTAGTTGTGTATTAATACCTGCAATAAAAAGTTCCCAGGTTAAGTTTATGCACATTCGGAACTTTTACATGTATGTATTTTTTGTAATAGTTGCAATGAGAAAGATTTATCAATTCAAATTGACAATATTTCCACCATCTCTATTTCTTTATAAATACTTATAAATTTAAATATTAATATGTCTGTTACAGCTCTTTACGAAGAAGAAAGCGAAACAGAAAGTAAGTAATTATAAGTAATAATATATAAAATATATAAATAATATAAGTGCAAACTGTTTTAAAAAAGTTATATATATTTAATACTTTTTTTATGTTTATTAGTGGATTCCATGGAGACTCATGGATCAGTCGTAACTCATCTTCTCTCTCAAGTGAAGATTGGTATGGATTTGACAAAGGTTGCCTTACCAACATTTATCTTGGAGCGCAGATCACTCCTTGAGATGTATGCTGATTATTTTGCTCATCCTGATCAGTTTGTGAGGTATTGTTAACTATTTGATTTAATAAGATTATTCAACATATACTATTATATTTGTCTTGAAATCTTTGTATAATAAACTTTTAAAAAAGTAACGGTTGGTTTTTCTTAATTTAGCATTGCAGATATGCCTACACCTCGAGAGAGAATGGTGCAAGTAATCCGTTGGTATTTGTGTAGTTTTCATGCAGGACGTAAATCTGGTGTAGCTAAAAAACCATATAATCCTATATTAGGTGAAATTTTTCGATGTCATTGGAACATATTGAACGTTAATTCTTCTGATAACGCCACAGATTATAATAGCATGAAACTTGTATCAGATGGTCCAGTACCATGGTGCAAAGAAAATCAACTTGCTTTTATTGCTGAGCAAGTCTCTCATCATCCACCAGGTAAATATTTTTAATTCAAATATTTTATTTAATTATGCGAAATGACTTATCAATTTACTATTATTTGCAGTTAGTGCATTTTATGCTGAGCATGTTGGAAAAAAGATTAGTTTTGGAGGTCATGTTTGGACAAAAAGCAAATTTTTGGGCTTAAGTATAGGGGTACACAATGTGGGAAAGGGTTGGGTAAATGTGCTGCAACATGGGGAAGAATATGTCCTAACTTTTCCTAATGGTTATGGCAGATCTATCCTGACTATACCATGGATAGAATTAGGAGGAACTGTAACAATAAATTGTGTACAAACTGGCTACCATGCAGCGATAGAATTTTTAACAAAACCTTTTTACGGTGGTAAACGAAATCGGATTACATGTCAAGTATTTCAAGCAGGAGATAAAAAACCATTTCTTGTTATAAACGGAGAATGGAGTGGTGCGATGGAAGCAAAGTGGTCGGATGGTGTAAGTTAGAGTATTATAAATAATTTAAACACATTTATTTAATAAGGATTATATGTTCTAATAATTCGAGTGTTTCTTGCATATAAATTACTATGAAAATCATAAATTATTAATGAATTTATATATATATATATATAGAATAATGATTATTCATAAAAGTTAATTATATATTCCTTATAATTTATATTTTTTTTCTACAGAGATGTGAAGCTTTTGCTGATGTAAGAGAACTTGATACAGAAAGAAAATTAGTTAAGACAGTATGTGAACAAGAAGAGTACGAATCACGAAAGGTTTGGCGTGATGTAACAGTTGGCCTACGTATCAACGATATGGATAAAGCTACAGCGGCGAAATGTGCAATTGAGCAAAAGCAACGGGATGAAGCACGATTTCGAAAGGAAAATAATATAGCATGGCAAACGAAGGTAAGAAGCAATTTTCATTTCCTTTCTTCTCATTCATCATATGATTATTGCAACCATCTTTTTTAATTTTTATTAAACAGCTTTTTAAGGAAACCAAAGATGGTGGATGGATGTATATAAGACCTCTTGTAGATAGAATATGTAGTTCTAATGATCAAATGAATATCACGTAATATAACATGATATTACATGACAAATACAGCACAATATTAGAAGGAAGACCATGGCCTAATAAAAGGCCATAAGAGCTGTAATAAAATAAGCTTAATTTAAAATACATATTTTCACGCATCTGAATAATTTCATCAAATATTTTTATGCATAATGGTCACATCATATTTAGTTAACTCAATCAAAAAAAACACATTATCCGTTTTATCTTTTATGTCACGTGCGCTTTAAGTTTATTATATATATATAGATAAATAGATATATAATAAACGCCGTTTTATCTTTCACATCATGTGCATTTTAAGTTTAGTACGTGTATATATATATATATATATATATATATATATATATATATAAAATGTACTATTTAAAATAAACATTGTCCCTGCTCTTTTCAATAATACATGTACTAACAAAAAATATGAATTTTTATAATATAAAGTTAGATTTTTAGTTAAGTTTATGTAATGTAAAGTTTTTCTTTGTCCTCAAAATAATTTCAGATAAAAGTATTTCAAATTTTTATTATATAAATATTTCATACATATGTGAGCTTTTTTATGTATGTAACATTTATTAATGTTATATTTCTTAGTATTATAAATTATATGTACAATATGTGCAAAATCTATGTATTGTACAGATTGCATGCATATATGAAAGAATCACTTCATGATATCATTAGACATATATTCTAGAGTTCTAGAATTATTTTGGCGCAATTTTGCGAATTTCTTATTGATGGATGCACACATTTCCAATATATAATAAATAACATATATTTCACAATTATTTTTTAAAATAAATTATTATATATGCATCTCTTGTGCAAAGAAATCAATGAGATGATAACAATGAGAATTATTTTATTTTTATTGTTATATATAAAAAAATTTTCCTTCATAAATCCTGTAAAAATTTCCAGTTTCTTAGTTAAATAAGTTATCAACATCATGATAGATAAAAGTGTATTGTAAAGTATGTCGTACATATGCATGTTAGTGTACTATTAATTATAATACATACAACATCAGTAATATCTAAAATTCTTTTGATTGAATAATATGTTAAATTAATAGCATTTCTATATCTTATAAACATGGTATTTAAATATACTTCAAGTCTTTTTGGTATCTTTGAAAAATTCATAATTTGAATGTTCTATTTGGAATAAATTAAAATTAATATATATTAATTTTGTTTTTGAGGAATATATATATAGTAAATAAGTAAATATATATTTCTTTATTATAAAAATAAGTATACAAAAATGTGATACATAAAAATTATTATACACAATTATTCATCTATAGTATTTAGTTTATAATTTCTTATAATACAATATAACCAAGAAAACAATCTGTAATAGTTCTGTAGACATGGGGTAATCGTTTTGTCGATAATAACAAATAATTTAAACCAGCTTCTATTATAGACAAACCTACTTCAATGTGTTTAATATTTGAATAATTAGTATTAGTAATTTTATTTGTTCCATATTTATATAAAACTTTGGTTACGCATTTCTGTTGTAAGAAAATAGTGTCAATATCATTCATTACTTTGTTGTTAGGCTCTGTAATTAAATTTAATTTACAATCCATTGGTTTTATCAGAAGACAATGAATTTGTTTGCCAACAGATGTTTGCAAGATAATTTCTTCTCCTAAAATTTCACTCAATGAATCTTTTATAAGTAGTAGAAAATCGTTGAGTGGATCAGTAGCATCTATAGTATTTAATGCACTACTCTGTGGTTTGTAATCTACACAACAGTTCCATATTTTGAATAAACTATACGCATGAGGTGTTCCTATATGTAATAAACATTTATTACAAATCAATGCTTTATTATCTATATGTACATTGTTTTCAAAAATATTTTTATGCAATACAGAGAAACAAGAGCCGTATAAATAATCAGATTCTTGTAATTGCACATTTGCGATAACATTGGAACTATGCTTACAACAGAACCATTCATTGGGATCATATTCTAGATCAGGTAAAGATAAAAACCTTTTAAAATTAATCGATTTTGAAAGCACATTTTTACAACAAGTACATAATATGATACATTCTGATGTTTTAAACAACAATTTGATATTGTCTAAAAATGATTGCGGACCATTACTCAGTTGAACTGATGTATTCGTATGAGTTACAATTTCTGTACTGAACGATCCAAATACAGATTTTAACGGTGCCGTTTGTAAACGAAAGCAAATCCAATTATTTATTACACTTAACGTGGATAGAGAAGTAGGTACAATTTTTACAGATGGCAACAAAAAATTTATGCGGCAGTCTTGGAGTATTAATATTATGTTACTTTCCATGAGTTTAATTCGAACATTTTTTAAACAGAGATCTTTTCGTACGGCAATAAATGCATTGCAAGATTGCAATCGTGGTCTTAATTCTAACGTAATGAACTCCATTGGTTATTGTTCATTAATGTAACCACGTCATTGTATGATAATAATGCATCTTTCCCCGATCGTAATTCTAAAAATACAATATAAAGACTAAGAATAGAAAATAAGGATCTTTCTTTTCCGTTTAATATTATCTCTAATATATTGTATAGTTTTATAAAAAATACTCACTGATTACATATGATGCTGCCATACAATACATATCAACACGTGGTTGTCATGAAATTAAAAATAAATATGAATATCAGGCTGTGGTCAAAGAGACATCGTTTGAAGTGTTCGATTGGCCAATCAGGACAATAAGAGTAGAAATTTCTTTATTCTAATTGGTTAATATAATCGAAGTATCTCTAGCATTTCCCCGACTGCAATCTTAAATTGCGTTTGACGTTTACGAAAGTTTCAAAGAATTTAATTGGTCAATCGGGACAAAGTTTCTTTGTTCTGATTGGTCATTTATTTTACTGCACATGCGTATACATCTACATTCTGTATTTTCTGATCGACAATTTTATATAAGATGTTGTGTTTGTGTGTGTGTGCGTGTATACACACTACATATATATACTACATAATATATACATATGGACATACTCTCTGACATTTAATTCTCGCGGTTCCCGCGAAGATTCATATAACCTCTCTTTTTTATCTTTTACGATCGTTTCACGTTCTTACGTCGATGTGTTTTTTCGTATCGTGCGTAATTTCGATTGTTAGAAACTGTCACGTAAAAGAACCGTGCAGAATGACAAAATCGTTAGTAAACGAAGTAATTTATTGATGCTCCGATCTGACAATTAACCCCGGTCTGTAAGGGTAGCTCGACATTCTTATCAGTGATATATACCGAGTGAACGATTCGTTCTCTTCGTGAATTCGCGAAAAAAAGACACAATGCAGACTTGAGATTTACAAAAGTTGTAATTCACATGAAGGAATTGCCGAATCTATCGGCGGAGAGAGAGAATATATAAATTAATTATCCGACAAATATCTTACTATTAATATTATTAACTTAGAAGATAGATAAGAGAGATACACATAAAAAAGATAAGTTACATGGTTCGCGAGTCCACTTTCAAGTGATAGTCTCGTGTAGTATTGTTTGTTGCTGACGCTTTTAAACAGTTGATTACCAAATGTCAAAGAACAAACTCAACTTGACACTACCGCCTGGTTCAATAGAACCAGTACCAGCAGTGTCACCATCACCTCCAGTTCCTCCTTTACCCACGTACTCGGAACCTCCAATACCCGAGTAAGTCGAAGGTTTAATTATTTGAAGCGTTGTTATATAATTCAAACACTAATATTTTCTTCATATAATTTAATATCCAAGATTTAATTATATTTAAGGAAACTGGAAATTTAAATTTAGAAACAATATTGTGCTAATATATAAGATACTTTGAACAAGCTTTATACATAAGAAATATAATTAAAGGATAATCTTTTGAATTTTCTTTATATTTTGTTTATTTCCTTCATTAATTTTCCTTATTCCGTTACAGATTAATAGAATTTTTTATTGTAGATTTAATTCTAAAAATAAAACTTTTTGCAGTGGTGTAATGGGTAAGATGAGCATAGATGCCATTCAAGAGAAATTAGAAGAACTAGAAATGGATGAGGAACAGAGAAAACGATTAGAAAGTTTTTTAGGACAGAAAGAAAAAGTTGGGGAATTATGCGATGAAGATTTTGAGAAGTTAGGTGAATTAGGTGCAGGTAATGGTGGTGTTGTAATGAAAGTCAGGCACAAAAAATATGGTCTTATAATGGCAAGAAAGGTAAATAATTTGTGTTGTATATCTTCAGATCATTAAATATTTATAAAATACTTGCTAAAGACAAAAAAGTCTTATCTGATATTTGTTTATATTTCAGCTAATACATTTGGAAGTAAAACCAGCTATTAAAAAGCAAATAATCAGAGAATTAAAAGTACTTCATGAATGTAATTTTGCACATATAGTTGGATTTTATGGTGCTTTTTACAGGTAATTTCTTAAAAATAATTTTTGAAATATATGTAAAAGATATTCTTTGTAAGAGTTGAGTATATATGTTTCAGTGATGGAGAAATTAGCATATGCATGGAATATATGGATGGTGGATCGTTAGACCTAATATTGAAAAAAGCAGGACGAATTCCAGAATCCATCTTAGGTACAATCACATCTGCTGTAAGTCTAATTTTTATTACTTCAATTAGAGAGAAGAAAAGGAATAAGATATTACAATTTAATTAATATAACGCATTATATATATATATATGGGTGTGCTTTATTTTGTGCTCAATCTTTTTATCATGTGAAAGATTATACATAACTTTAATAATAATAATAAATATAACAATATATATATTTAATATATATATTTAATAATAATAATAATAATAATAATAAATCCATACCACATGATTTGAATCAACTTTTAACTTGTTTTTAAATTGTACACATATTCGGGTCAATCCAAGTTGACATTTACATACCAATCAATTTATTACAATTGCAGTTGATGACTCTCGATGATAAAAAGATTGATGCTCAAAATAAAACTCACATTGTACATATAGGTGTATATATATATATATATATATACACCTATACATATATATTTATATATACACATACATTCATAATTATAATCTAACAATAACAACTATTTTTCTAATTAAACATAATGAGATGTATGAAACATGATATACAGGAATATTATGTATATGTGATAGATTATTGATTAATAGGTGTGTTAAATTATATATATAGTGGAAATAATATTCTTCTATAAAATTTTAATTGAAAAAAAAATTTAATAGTATGTTTCTCTTTCCATAATTCCACCTGGAAAGAGACGAATACATAATCGTCTAAATTCATCATAAATCCAAAGGAACAGGCCGAGTGGCAAAGAAGGCCAATACCAATAAGCTTTCAGTGGCATTGTTTTTAATACATACTCTGTGCCTGGAATATAGAATAAGATCCCTGTTAAAATAACTTCGAAAACGAAAGAGAAATTGACGAACCAGTTGCTCATTCCTTGTTGAAAAATGGAGTTGCGCCTGGTTTTACACATTATCAAATCTATCATTTGTGTTATAACGATAGAAAGAAAATATCCGCTTTGCGCTTCCATTAACAAATTTTTTCTATTTTCGTAAGTCCACGTTTGACCCCAGGAATCTTCTAAATCATTGATAGATGGATCCTCCCATTCTATTCGTAAACCTAATAGACGATCGGGCATAAAGCCATTCATCATAAGCACCATGAAGTATGTGTAGAATCCAGCAAAGGACTGAGTCATTCCTATTTGACCATAAGTAATGGATATTAAACGCTTATTCACCAACTTATCGTATTGAGGATTTCTTGGCGCACGACGCATTATATCAGATTCGGCCTTTTCATACGCCAAAGCGATAGCAGGTACCACATCAGTGCCGACATCTATGCAAATGACCAATTCGATGACTAATGGTAAGGGAATCGCTAACAACAGGCCACTCAGCATCGGTATCATTTCCGGTACGCTTGATGTTAAAGTATACGCGATCGATTTTTTTAGATTATCAAATATCAGACGACCTTCTTCGACACCAGTCACAATTGACGCGAAATTGTCATCCATGAGTATCATGTCTGCGGCATTCTTGGCTACATCGGAACCAGCGATACCCATCGCAACTCCTATGTCAGCCTTTCGCAATGCTGGCGAATCGTTGACACCGTCACCAGTAACTGCCACGATCTCTCCTAATCGTTGGCAGCTCTCTACAATCAGCAACTTTTGTTGCGGTGACGTCCTCGCAAACACGATCTCCTCGTATTTGCGTATGATATTATCCAATTCGTGTGAATCCATGTTCCTTAATTCGGCGCCAGTGATGATAGTCGCGCCAGTATCCATATCGCTCACTTGCGAATAAGATTTATTCTGTAGGATCGCCCGCTCGTAACGGGTCTCGTGACCTTCGCTAATGATACCTACTTTTTTAGCAATCGCCATCGCTGTCACCGGATGATCTCCCGTCACCATAATCACCTTAATACCGGCGGTACGGCACTTTTGTACTGCCTCGGGCACGCCGGGTCTCGGCGGATCTTGTAAGCTGATCAACCCTACGAATCTGTATCCCTTGGTGGGAAAATTGTAGGACGCAGGCGAATCGGTATTAAATTTGTAGTTCGGTCCGTATACATTGTCTGGCAAATGCATATCGCAATACGCCAATACGCGTTCACCGAGATAGCCCAATTCCATGCAAGCTCTACGAGATATAGCATGATCGTGGAAGCTCATCTCTTTGGTCTCTCCATCTGCCGTCAGTATCGTCGTGCAATTCTCCAATATCACTTCCGGAGCACCCTTCAGTATCATCGTGTAGCCGTTGGCATTTCGATGTATCGACATCTGATACTTGGTCATGGAACTGAAAGGGATCTCAGCTACCTTCGGATGTGCCTCGCGAAACCGTTGCGTTGGATGTATGTGTTCGCAGAACTTAAGGATACCAGTTTCGGATGCGTCGCCGATGATCTCACGCTCCTCGATGGGCGCCAATCTATAAGACTCGGCGGTGAATTCGGCACGCAGACAAAGAGTTGAGACTTTGAGCATAGCATTAAAAGCCGGCTTCTCCAGCAGTAAGTCTCTTTCAACACCAATCCTCTCGCCCGGTGGAAAGTTATATCTAGTATGACCGAACCACAGATTAGACACAGACATCTTGTTCTGTGTAAGAGTGCCCGTCTTATCGGAACAGATTGTCGATGTCGAGCCTAGAGTCTCGACCGCTTCTAGATTCTTTACCAGACAATTCTTGCTCGCCATTCTTTGTGCGGTCAATGTTAAAACTGTTGTCACGGTCACTAACAATACCTCAGGTACATTGGCGATAATTATTCCAAGCAGATAGGTGAACGCTCGCACGAGATTAGATTCCAGCAGCAGTGATAATCCAAAGAAAACGATGCCACATAGAACCGCCACAATCGTAATGATCTGGACAAAATGTCTGATTTCTTTGGCGATCGGTGTTTCGATCTTGACGAGTTGCGATGTAAGACCGGCTAATCGGCCTATCATTGTGTGATCACCCGTAGCGATCACAATTCCCTTGCCATCACCCGCTACAGCAAACGACGTGGAGAAGGCCACATTGGCAGATTCAAGAGGATTCTTATCGGTGGGATAATCAGTGCGTGTCACCGGTTCGCTTTCGCCGGTGATACTGGAGTTCTCGACTCTTAATCCGCGACATTCGATTATCCTAATGTCGGCTGGTATTTTGTCGCCCATCCGTATCTCTACTAGGTCACCCAGGACCAGCTCCTCCGTACCTAGACGTAATTTTATACCGTCGCGAATCACCGTAGCAAAAGTAGGCACCATTTGTTTGAAGGACTCCATTACTTTAATATTTTTACTTTCCTGTATGTACGCGAACACGCCTGAAGTGATGCATATCAAAACGATGATTATGCCAAGCCATACAACACCAACATCGGGTTCTCTCATAAAATAAGTAACAACGTACAGAATGAAGCATAAAATCGCGCAAACCCAGAGCAATGCGGCGAATCCGTGGAACATACACTTGAAAAATTTGATGTATTCTGGTGTGACCTTAGGCGGTGACATAGCATTCGGTCCATCTCGTGCGAAAATTTTGCGCGCTTCTTCCTTTTTCAGGCCCGTTTCTGCGTTCGTATTTAGTTTCTTGCATAGAGCCTCCAAGGATATCACATGATCGATAGTCTCTAACTCTTGATGCAGCTCTTGTATTTCCTGTTCGGTCAGTTTCTTCTTGTGCAGGTGTATGGAGGACCCGCGGGTCGGGTGATACAATACGGAGGACACACGGGTCAATTGCTGCGCCTTCGAAGTGCTCGCTTGCATTTTTGCAACGGGATTTTGCAAAAGATATTTTCCTGTAAAAATACAATTTCACACGCACATACACATGTATAACGCTTCTTTTTTTTCTGTCAATAACGATCCGAAGTCATCTCCCTATCAATTTATCGAATATTTCTTATTATTTCTCTTTTTATTTCTTCGTTTATTGTTGTTTAAATAATAATGTCAGCATTACGTTTCTTTACAGGTTTTGAAAGGGTTGAGTTACTTGCGAGACAAACATGCCATAATGCATCGTGATGTAAAACCAAGCAATATCTTAGTTAATAGTGCGGGCGAAATCAAAATCTGCGATTTTGGCGTTTCTGGTCAACTGATTGATTCAATGGCCAATTCGTTTGTCGGAACTCGAAGCTACATGTCGGTAAGCTTATAGTGATATGGATATATATAATATCATAATCACTATCATATTTATTAATATCCGAATGAAACGGATTAATATCCGAATGAAACGGATTAATATTTTGCGTTTTACAGCCAGAGAGACTTCAAGGAACGCATTATTCGGTACAGAGCGACGTTTGGTCACTCGGATTGTCACTCGTGGAAATGGCAATCGGGATGTATCCGATTCCACCGCCGGACGAAAAGACCTTAGCTTCGATATTCGGTCTGCAATCAGTACAACCACCTGCGGAAAATCCGGTGACGAATAGTGTTCCTACACCGACCACTCAATCGCCAGGACACAGTCAGTATTTGTTTACAAACTTTGCCAAATAATCATATCGTTAATTATTGATTCTTCATCTTATAGGCGCAAGCAGTCCAAGACCCATGGCAGTATTCGAATTGTTGGAGTACATAGTTAACGAACCACCGCCGAAACTGCCGCCCGGAATATTTAGTGATGCTTTTATGGATTTCGTCGATCGATGCTTAAAGAAAAACCCAGCCGAAAGAGCAGATCTAAAGACATTAATGGTAAGTTTCCTTTAAATAACATGAAAACAAACTGATTGACAGCTTAATGGAAAGGGAAACATTATGTTTCACGATCGTATATTTTAGAATCATGAATGGATAAAAAAAGCCGAATCAGAAAACGTAGACTTTGCTGGCTGGGTATGTCGTACGATGGATCTACAACCAACTACGCCAACACATTTAGCGAGCGTGCAATCCTGAATAAATGTAACTCTTACATACTTGACTACATATATTCGCGTTCAGTACTCCTAAGTCATCTCTTAGTTTGTTTAGGTTTTCATTCGGTCAAACGGTGGCGTATATCCGTTGTGTATCAGCGTGTTTATTGTGATTTTTTTATAAAATACATTAGGATGCGCTAAGTGGATGCTCTATTGAATGAATCATTGAGCACTGCATGAATGATTTAAGTTTACCAAGGACTTATCTATAAAAATAATAATATAAAAGACGCGCGCGCGGTTCTTTAATATCGCATTAAGACACCTATTCCCTTACTGATTATATTGAATTACTGATTGTAATTCAATATAAATGTAGTGAGGAAACAGGAATCTTAAGTCATCAATTTTGTTCATTTTCTTGTTTTTATAGAGAAGAGAAAAAAGAATCAATCATGTAATGTATAAGAGATAATCTATAAAACATTGTTATAATATAGGAGGAGTTTCTCTATTAATTCTTGCAGACAGAATGAATCATGTTTCATTCGAAATCTGCTCGCTTAGCGTGAAATGTATCATCGTCTAGTAATTTGCACATAGCACGCCACTGTGCCAAATATTAATTTCTTTACTTTATATGTTCGTCTTTATGTTTGTGTTGAAAGTATGTAAGAAAAAATTACGATATATAAGTTTATTATTAGAAACTCATGGGCAAGTTATGTTCCCCGTGATATAATTAGGATACACGAATGAGCATCGAACTTATGAACGTCTCGTTTGAGAAAAAATTAACTAGATCGAATTACTTCTATAACATTTGTACCTGACACATCCATGCAAACGTTATTTACACGATTAAAAAAACATGTCAAACAGTTGTTTTTATGAATATATAGCTGCGATTAAAGAAAATTTCGAATTTAATTTTAATAATTCTATATAATTTTTCTATATAATTTTAATTTTTCTATATAATGAAATAGTCTTCATTACAAAATAATAATTTTAAAAAATAGAAATTATTCCGATAATGTAATTTATATTATCTCAAATCCTTTAAATATTAATTTATATGTTTACAATTATTAAATTTTGCAAATTTATCGATACTGATATATAAATTTAAATTCAATAGATTATCATACATTCAATATAAAAGGCCAACTATCCTCCCATATAAGATTTATATCCCATCAGATTTATTAAATAAAAAGAAGTAAACATGATTTTTCATATATAATTGCGGCCTTACAGATGTAAGTGATTACAAGATTTCTCATTGCACACGATTTGAGAATCATGTTTATATATTCAAATTATAAGATAAATAGAATTTTAATATATGTGAGTCTTTTTGCTGCAAAGTATGTGTGCATAGTGGGTGATATTTTTAATTCTACTTAATACGAAATATGCAATGAGGACTATTAGACTATTGCTGTTTTATCAAAAGACAAGGGATATGAAAAACATGATAATACAACAGACTAAAATAGAAATATCTTATTTCTACTCTATTGATGAAAATAATAATTATTATAAAAAAAGAGATATTACCCACAGCAAAAGGATTGACTTTTTGTGCATCTAATTGTATGTCCAATCTTTTTGTATGTATTATATGTGTATAAAGTGCATTTTAAAAATGTCACTTTATAATTATTAATTTGGAATTCACAAATATTTGAAAAAATTTAGATAAGATCAATTTTTTTATATCATACATTTCTCATTTTATGTGTATGTGTATACACATAAAATCATAAAATAGAACTTATATTTCGCATTTAAGTAGACATTTAATTTTGTAGTATTCGATGGTTATATCATTATTAGAGTAAAAAAATTTATAAGTTTAAAATATTTATCTCAATAGTCCAAGTATCACAAGTACATACATTAGGATTGTCATGAAAACACAAATAGATAGTATACTATTAAATTGTTATTTTAGAATCGATTAGAATTATTTATCATTTGTTGAAATTTTTTATGTTGAACATATATTTTGTAGATATTTTGCAAGTTTGCAAATTAGCATCATATATTATATAATAGAAAGAGCAATTGAATTGGCATAAAAATCACTAGATGTGACTATGATATATATCATGATGTTTATAAGGCAAATGAGATATTTCTCACAATATATAGGAGCGTTAAACGCTCAAGTAAAATTTCATATTATATTTATATCGCGATAAATAGAAACAATAACATTAATAATAAGAATCGATGCATATAATGCCATTTATTATGAAGTGTGGTCTCTATTATCTGTCATAGAACGACAATATACACATTTAGTTCCAGCAGAATCGTGTGATAAAATGTATAATATGCCAACATAACTTAGCAATTTTATCAAACGATAATCCGTAAATTTCAGCAAAGTTCATAATTCCTATAGCACTTATTAAAATATGTGCACATTCCTTGTTGCAAATATGTGCATAATAATTGCAAATTGTAATTGCATATTAATTCATACATTATGTCTATCTAAGCATTATTAATTATAAATACAATAAAATAATCACAATATTGTAAGTGTAACTCTATGTTTAATATTCCAATACTCAATGTAGCTATATGTAATATGATTTTATGTGAGCATATAAAATTTTTTTTATTAATAAAATATGTATACACATATAAAAACATCAACTTATGATATAAAAAAACTTCTCCTCTCTTATCGATTTTATATTTATCTCAGTTTATTCATATAATATAAAGTATCATTATAGAACACAATATGTATACATAGTTTTAAGAATTAGTGACATTGATAGTATATATTAACTATATTCATAGAAAATCTATAAGGATAGGCACTTTATGATATATATTTTTTGAACACCAATGGATTATGCCAGGAAAATGTACTTGATTATGTCCTCATGATGCGCAAGAATCTAGCGATTATGCGCCAATTATGTGTGTTAAATCCGCTATTTATACGTAATTATGTGATCTTAGACTTTTTTGTTTTTGTATTAAAAATATTGCAATTCATTATTTTGAAAAAAAAAACTTTTTTCCTCAAATCCGAGTGTTTTAAGTGTAAAAACGGATTTTTTGCGACCATGATGCCATAATTATGCGAGAATTGTATTATGTTGCGCGGAGAATTTATTATACGTTATTATGCGAAATCTATCAATACGTTATTATACGTTATTATGCAAAATCTATCAATATTAAGTGTGTACTATGCATAACTATCAAAATTAGAGCTTAAGAACAATTTTTGACACATTATGCTATTATGCAAGCATAAAGTGCCTATCCCTAAAAATCTATTATATAATCACAGAAAATAAACATGCCAAATTTTTAAAAAAAATTGGGCGACAAATCTTCATCCTCATAACTTCCTTCATAATCATAATCTGAATCTTCATCAATCCAAGACTCATTACCATCATATATGTCTTCATCAATTAGATCTTCATCAAACATAAAAAAGTCATCGTCACATAAGTCCACGTTAACTATTTGCAAAAGCGGGGATGTTTGCTCTTCATCTTGTTCTGTTATAGGAAAAATTGCTGTATTTCCAATAATCATCTTTAACATTAAGTTATTTGTGCGAGTGTAGCAGGCATCTTTAGCGGCATCGAGAGTAATGTTCGTAATATTAATGCATCCAGAGATATCCAATAATTGTAAATGAGGTGAGGATCTAATAAACATTGACATGCTCTGATCGCTAATTGATCTACATTTTCGACATTCTAGTTCTTTTAAGCCACGCATATTTTCCAATCCATTATCAGTAATTTTCTTTACATAATTGATAATTAATTTTTCCAATTTTGGTAATGTAGCAATAGCTGCTAATCCAGTATCAGTCACATCGGGAGAACCTGGTTGGATAAATAAAAAGTTAGCAAAGAATTTACAAAAATAAAAAGTTAGCAAAGAATATATTGTATAATAATTGTGAGTTACCTGTAATGTCTAAATAGATAAGCTGCTGACATTGTAGTGCCAAATTAATAAGAAATTCATCTGTTACTAGAGGGTTATATATAAATTTCAAGATTTTCAGATTAACAAGTTTAGTTAAATGTAACACATCCACTATTTCTGCGAAAAGGAGACCTCCTTCAATTTCTAACTCATTCAGACCTTTACAATGTTCACCGATAGCTTTCAATGTGCGTACAGTTATGCCAGAACAATTATTTATTGCAAGATGTTTCAAATTTTCGAGTTTTTTTAATGCCTGTATATGACAATGTCAATATGTGCTTGTGTATATATATATATATATATATGTATACTAGTATTAATCAATAATTCCAATGAAGTAAAGAATTTTGACTTACTGTAGAAAAGTGATTATCTTGAATATTGTCGCATTTGTCCAATATAATTGTATGCATAGTTTGTGCTGGCAAGCATAGTAAAGATTTGCCCACAATATTATTTTTGCTTATAGCAAGATATTCCAAGTTTTTATTTACTTTGAAGAGATTCTTTAATTCATTATCACAGCTATATATTGAAGGTCCTAAACTAAACCTAATTATATTTTTACAATTACTTGCTAATGTATCAATGCCTGATGCACAAATTGTTAGTGCAGTAACATCGATACTTGTAAGATTAGGACAAAGTTTTCCAACAATGGTTAATGTACTTTGTCGTAAAAAATTGCTTGTATCAGACAGATTTATTTGTGTTAGGAACTTGCCGCATTTTAATAATATCTTGCGAAGTGTAGCTGTACAAATTGTATGAGTTTCTACAAAACCCCATGTAGAAGGTGAAAGATCCAATGTTTTCATCATACGCCAAGAATCTTGACTTAGATCTCTCCAGCGTTTGCAAACTATAAAGATAATAATAACAACAATGTATAAATAATGTATAAAAAATTTTGCCTTATTTAGAACAAAAATATAATAGAGTTAGATGTGTATGATTTCTAACATTAGTATGATAAATTATTTGCCTCTTTCTATGCGGACTCTGTCAATAATTGGTAAAAATAAAAAAATATGTCTTAAACAATCATCATTCAATATATGGATAGACACATCTTCACTATCATTTTGCAAAAATTGATGACATTGTTCATTAATAGTCTTTTTCTCAAAAGTTTTGTTTGACTCTTTTCCTGTGCTATATAATTTTTGGTCTATACTATCAGGTTGATGCCAGGAATCTGCAGCCATTACCCTTAAGTCTCTATTGTGTACTCTTATTTGTTTCCTACTTCCATCTAGCATGGCTCTACAAACAAATTGTTACAAATAACCAATATGCATTTTTTAATAACTTATTAGTAATCATTCTTTTTCAAACTTACGCCATCGCATCTTCTACTTTGGTGAATGTAACAAATGCATAATTTTTTCTTCCTTGATTTCTACGTAAATAACAATTTTCAATATTTCCATATATAGAAAAGCAATTGCGTAAGTCTCTAAAAGTTGTCTGTAAAAATATTTAACAATTGATTATTTGCATCATTGCATTGATAAAATGTATAGGAATGAAGACAAGTGAAAATATAATACAAACCCTTTCAGCCAAATTATCAACGAATAATTTTCGTATTGGTACACCATCTATGGTTTTCTCACATAAGCCATCTAAACAAAGTCAAATATATAAGTATTATAATAAACATGATTAAGTATTATAATAAACATGATTAAACATACTAATATAATAATAATATACTAATATAATATTAGTACATAAAGGCTATTAAAGGCTATTGTATATGATTCAAAATAGAAGTTTACATATAAACAGGATACAATTTATATTATATTGTTTGATAGAATACATATATTAGATATTTTATCAATTTAGATGTGTGTGTGTGTGTGTGTTTATACAATAGTCTGTCAGTTAACTGGAGATAACCATAATATACAAATGATTTCAACTAGTTTATCTACCAGAAATTATCTCATAAAACATGTTGACAATTTGCCAACGATGAAAATAAAGTCAAAAGAATTAAACGAGATTAATGAACATCAAAGTTTCAACCCTTTATTATATTTCAGATAAGCATAAATATAAACCTCAAGGCTCTCGTTTGCTCGCTCAAAAAAATAAAAATGTGTAGAGATGTTGGAAGACATTTAGAAAAAAAATACTCCATAAAGAGAATTTATTATATTATGCTCCTTCATATCTAAATAGATTATACAGTAGGCTTTAATCTTTCTATTCAACAAAATTCGAATGAAACAATCGAAAATTCAAAGGTTATAAACGTAAGCTTAACATTAGACTTACCATCCGATACGATTTTACTTATGTGACAGAGCGTTTCGACATATTCGGCTTCTAGAATGTCGATCATTGTCGATTTTTACGCCAATTCTCTTTATAGAAGTACAAAGAAGTTTGAGAAATTTGAGAAAGCAGTCATCCTAACGATCCTACATTTATCTTACAAATCTCGTTAATACCGCCATCTCTACATATTATAAAACTTACATAAAATTATTATAGCCAAGTAAGTTTTCGATATTGTATGTATGTATTTCTAAATTTTAGATTTAGTCCGTTTCAGCTTACGCATTGAAAATTGAAGATTTACAATTGCAATTTTTTATTACGATCAAAACAAAGAGAGTTAAAATTTCTTTGACCTGATTGGTCAATCTTTAATGATTTTCAATCTCAATTTGCAATGTGTAATCTGACACGTATTACTTAATCGAAATAAAAGAATAAACATACCGAAAAGATCTATTCTATTTATAAAAAATTTTGTATTCGATATTTCTACATCGATGTAGAAAAAGCTATCGATATCGAGTTTAATTCAAACATAACGTATAGATCTTCCGATATTTCGAGTACGTAAAATTTATATATATACATATATATAAATTATATTATAAAAGAAATATATACATATGTGTATATCTATTACATTTAACATCTGAATGAAAATTGACATCAGATGTCCGAAATATTTTTTCTAGTTCGATGTACGCATGGTTCATAGTCATATTTCCTTTCACTAATAATAATATTAAATAGTAAATAATACAAAGCACTAATAAAACGTTTAACGAGCTTTATATTTGTGTTATAAAAGTTGTTTGCTAAGTATTAAAGAATTCATAAAAAAGTAAGAAATCTTTAATGCAATAGTAAGGTTATGTTATTATTTAATATTTTTTTTTATTGTGAAAATATATATTTTGAGAAATTATTTTATACACTACTAATTTAATATTTATTCTATCTAAATGTTAAATCACTTAATTTAATATAAGTTTATTACAAGCTTTATATATATATATATATATATATATATATATATATATATAATTTTAATACTTGTGTATATATATATATATATATATATATATATATATATATAATATTTTTACTTCATGTATTTTTATATTTTATTTATTTTCTATCTCTATTTCCTTCTAAACAATTTTATTACCTGTCAGGAGAAATGGTGACAACTGCTTGTGATCCTACATTTGAGAGACATTTTAAAGGTCATAAAGATGAAGTTACAGCTTTATCCTTTCACCCAAATGCTACTCAACTTGTGTCAAGTAGTCTAGATAAAACATTATTGGTATGGAATTTAACAGAATCAGTGCGAGCTTATAGATTTATAGCCCATAAAGATGGTATTTTGGATGTATGCTATGCACCATCTGGAGAAATTATAGCCAGTGCTTCAAAAGACAGATCTGTAAGAATATGGGTTCCTAAAGTTACAGGACAATCATTAGATTTTAAAGCTCACAGTTCTGCTGTAAGATCGGTACAATTTAGTCCAGATGGAGAAAAGGTAAATCTTACCTTAATTAATCATTAGTCAATTTATTGTTTCTGCTTAATATTTGATTAACTTGTTTAGTTGCTTACTGCATCAGATGATAAAAGTATAAAGCTATGGATGGTATGTCAAAGAAGATTCCTCATGTCTTTTAACGGACATACAAATTGGGTTCGATGTGCTAAATTTTCTCTTGATGGTAGACTTTTAGTATCTTGTAGCGATGATAAGTCAATAAAAGTATGGGACATTATTTCTGGACAATGTATTAGAACTTTTAATGAAATAAAAGGTTCGTTAAATATGGTAATTTTGTTTTTATGATAATTTTTAAACATCTAGAATAAAAATTTTGCTTTTGTTAGCACCTGCTGCATATGTAGAGTTCCATCCAAGCAGTGGAGCTATTGGATCAGCAAATGTGGGTGCATGTATCAAACTATATGACTTGAAAACAGGCTCTTTGTATCAACATTATGCTGCCCATAAAGGATCTGTAAACATGATCAAATTCCATCCAAAGGGTAACTTTATATTAACAGCTTCTAGCGATTCTACAATGAAGGTAATTTAAAATTTCATGATTCTGTATGTATAATAGCTTCAATAAATCGTTTTTATCTCTAGTGATATAGAATAAGAGAAACATTTAGGTTTTAGATTTATTAGAGGGCCGACCAATTTATACTTTGAAGGGACATGTTGGTAATGTAACATCGATAACATTTTCACAAGATGGTGATTTTTTCGCTTCTGGTGGCATAGATCGACAAATCCTAATGTGGAAATCTAATTTTTGTAAAGATGACAAACCGAGCAAAATCACTAGACAATTAATATCTTCTTCCAGCAAACGAGAATTTAACAATATAGATAAAAAATCATTTGCAAGTAATGATGAACAAAAAGATATGCAAGAGGAGCATAATCAAGAGGAAGTAATAAATTGATTTGCAAATATATTAAACTATAGAATATTATGAACATTACGTGCATTTAAAAAAAAAAGTATATTAATTGTTATATTATTAGAAGCTGTAAAATTTATAGAATATATTATTTCAGTACTTATTAAAAACATTAGAAGAATTGGATTTGGAATCAAATGGAAATCATTGTAAAGGACCCATTGCTGAAGTACCAAAGAAAAGAATTGAACCTGAAGTAATTGATACAAGAAATATTAAACCTTCTGAAAGACGTCGTATAGCAAATATTTTAGTTCCGCAAGATCAAATATCAGCCGATATGCATTCATCTAGTCAATCTATTAAAGCAGTAGAAGCACTTTGTGATCAAGTACAATCGTTACACGAAACTGTTAATATTCTGGAACAACGATTGACAATATTAGAAGAGGCAGTTAGAAAGTAATTTTGATTTTTCCATTTTAAAATTTTTTAATTATTGATTAGAATAATATATTTGTGTGTATATTGTGTGTAAAATATTGATAATAATTATATTTCTCAAACAAAATTTGAATTCAGAATAACTATGAAATGTTACATTAATTACATCAAGGTTTCTTTTAATATATCAAACATCATGTTAAATATAAATATATAATTGCATTATATAATACATTGCAAATTTAAAATAATTTGTATGATTGTAATATGAGTGTGAACTGTATATAGAAGATATTTTATTATATAAAATTTTAAATTATTTTTGTACTTTTGTATACATATTAATCAATCAATCAATAAATTAATAATTTTTTAATAGAAAAAGTATAACAAAAAATATTTGTTACAATATATGTGTGATATATTAGCAGCACCATAATCACTTTGTAAAGATCCTCATTTTTTTGTCCCTAAAAATTGGCATGTTTTTCCTGTCTTCTTGATTGCCTCCAAAATCTCATCTGAATTAAGCGCAGTAGTTACGGATACCTTTTGCTCTGGTAAATCTATCTTGATGTAGTCGACACCTATATATATATATATATAATACATTATGTGATTTATATGCTAAGATAATTTAAATACATATATCTTTTTTTCATTCAAATTATTTTTATTTAAATATTCTATTTTTTTCCATGTAATATATCAAAGCATATTTCATAACCTCATTCAATCAATTTTTATAAAAATAATGACTAGAAAAACTAATGAAATATTTATGGAACGTAATCACACGCAATATAAAAGTATTTTTATATCTGTGAAATTAATTGCAAATATTTTTATATTATATACATACCTGCTTTTTTTTTAAGTACATTTTGTACAGCAGTCGAGCATCCTTCACATGTCATTTCGACGCTAAATTCGTGTACCTTATAAATAGATCACTTGTCAAACACTCTATTTGTTTAAATTTCTTTGAAACAGATTTATATTTCATTTTTACCTGAGCTGCCATAATGAAGATAATACAGTTTTGACGTGGTGAAATTGAAATTCCAACAAAAATCAACAGAAGTCTTATCTGGAAATGTTGTAAGATAATGGAGTATAACTGTGTATATAATACATTGTGTGTGTGTGTGTTATTATGTGCAACTAAACACACACACACAATCCACACGCAACACACACACACAATCCACACGCAACACACACCCACACGCACATACACATGCACATAGAAGGGAGATAGGATATTAATTAATATATTTCTAAAATAACAGATAACACAATATATTGCATATTAAAAATTACTATTGTTGAAATATTGTCAATAATTCAGTTATCAATATGTACAATCGTATGTGTATCACTTCTGATTTTAGAGCAATATGTATATTCACAGAAATAGTTAACTTTCACACACATGTCGGCTAAAAAATTAAAAACTGCTCTGAAAGACAATATATATCTGATTTTTATAAACCAACATATATATATATATATATATATATATATATATATATATATATTTAATACAAAAAATGTAAATGTACAATATATTAACGAATTAATTTTGTATATACGTTTATAGAAACGTATAAAAATAATATTCGTTTGAAAATATAAAATGTTTTATGTCCGCTGAAATTAAATTCGGTTAATATTCGTTTAAATCGAATTTTATCAATATTCAAAAAATTGTGGTCAGTTTAGTTTTAGTTGCTTTTTACCGTGATAAATGCATACATTTACTTCCATTAAAAATTAAATTTAGAGAAATCGGTATGTAATATTTCATATATATATTTAAATTTTTAATTTTACTATATTTTTCTCTCCCTAATATATGTATTTCTATCTCTCTTATAAGTATTTTATTTATAGAATGTTTTTTCATAATTTTATTTAAAGACTATTTCTTTCATTGTGCAGTATTTTTTTTAGAAATTAAAACATTTTTTCAGCTTTAAATTAAAAATTGAAAATATATTTTTGAATTAATTTTGATAACATATAAAAACATTCTTAAATATCTTTTATAAAGTATTATCATCTTTTATAATAATTCATCTTATATAAACGCGATAATACGTTTTACGACTATACGTGTAAAGAATTAAAATATTAGAAAATTACAAATTTCTCAGGGAATTCAGTATTTTTATTTTCATTTCTGCATCTTAACATAAGGTAAAAAAGTATTTTTATTGAATGCCTAGTTGTCATGTACTCTGTAATATCTCAGGACTGTCGTTTCAACTGCGTTTTAAATATACAGAGAACAAACTTATATTCTACTTACAGCATGATCTTGCGAGCATTTTGGCTAAAGAATAAATTTGTGATATATATTTTTTCCAGATCGACTATAATTTTCGTATAATTCTTTTCTTCTCTTAATATTATTATCATGAAAATTCTATTTATACAAGTTTTAATGGCAAATTTAAGCAATTAAAATGTACACATGTATGTGATAAATTTTTCCCTGTTGTTTCTGTAGTGATTTTGGATAAGATTGGTATGCGGACGGCAACGGGATTATTAGATGCCTGTGCAAATGAAAGATCTTATCACAGTAATCAGTTCGGCTCATATTGAGAATATCTGTTTTGCTTGTTTCTTATACAAATCAGATACTCTGTCAATCATTGCTCTCCATCGTACATGTACCACTCATTCATACATTTATCTATAATCTAATTTTACACACATTCAGTCATATTGCTCTACAGTATCAGTAATAGTTTCTTAATCATTAATACACATTTCGTTAATATACTTCTTGATACGCTTATCGAATATAATGCTGCTATTTCTGCAGGGATACATGGAATCATACTTACTGTAGCTCGAAACATTTTTTCCTTTCGATTTATTCAGGATAATAATATAGCTTCTCTCTTTTTCCATTCTTTTTATTTATTCGAGAAATGGGGAAATTTATATGCACTGGGATTAATAATAAGTGTCGCGTAACATTTTATACTTATTTCGATGAATTAAAGGGCATGTCTATTATATTTAATATGAAGCCCTATGAAGCATCAGGACCAATGACAATGTGGCTAAAATGCAATTTTGCATAATAAATTGTAATTGTAATGAAGCATGATTTAATGGTATTAATTTTTAATTTTGGCGTACTTGTTAAGTCTTTGGGATGATGGACATAAAGGAGGATGTATGGCAGTTCATAGTTTGCGATTTTAGAGAATTATCATTCTCTACTGTGTACATGTGGCATGTATGTTCTTTCTTAAGCGTAATATTATGTAAGTACATATACCATAAATTAGTTAAACGATGTAACGAAATTTCAGTATCCTCATTAAAATATATCCATTCTCTCTTTATAAATACATGAGGAAACCATTTGTTGTCAATCTTGAAAAAGACGAGTCATAGATATATGCGAACATGCGAAAGGGAGCTCTGTGGAAAGTATGCTGCAACATTACTTGGAGAAGTAATTTGGTGGTAATTTGTGCACGATACTATGAGATGATTATTGCTGGACTGGTTTTGTCCTCGGCCAATCTATTCTATTTCTTTTTATTTTTCGATGTTGCTAATAAAAATAAATCATAAAAGTTTTATAATGTGAAATGTTACACATACACATAATCAATGATTGGAAGATAAACATTCCAAAAAAGAAATGCAGCTGTTTTGTACTAGTAGAACGATGCGTTTTGTTAAACGGTAGTTTTATGGTGTGACGCAATTCTGAAAATAAAAACTTTACGATTACTTTATCATATTATTTATGATCAGTCCGTCGGGCTAACTGGATTGTAGCCTGATGGTGGATTAGCATGAATCCAACGTCAGAGAAAACTGTAAGTATTCTGAACTGCTCTGCCAGTGGATGAAGCCGAGCCCTGTTGCTCCGTAATAGCATTCTGTTGCTCTAGTCTCTCCAACGATTCCACACGCGTTCTTATAGAACCACCATAAGTGCGTACCTATTTTATTAATATCTCATAAGTTCCCACATATTCTTAATCTTATTATCTTATCAAAAGTTTCTCTTAAAGTTTCTGGGTTTTGAAAATAATATAAAACATATACAAAATATCAGAAAGATACATGTCAGTATTTCAGAGAATAAAGCTAAGCTACAGTGTGAAAAAATAAACATTTTGAATGTTTATTTATTTAAAGTACTACTGTTGAAGATTATATTCTATATTAATAACAATATTCTGCATTCAGATTTCATATTCATTATCGGAAATATTGACATTAAGTTTTTTTAACATTTTGTAGGATAAAATAAGCAAATAGGATTTCTCGTCCAAAGTATATGTGTGTGTATATATATATATATATATATATATATATATATATATATATAAATACCTGTTAAATTAATAATATCATTAATATTAACTTAACAAATGTTTTTTTTATAAAATTCTGATAAGAAATTATAAATTATTTCATTTTTAAATTAATGTGATATTTTAGTCAATCTAATAATTTCTGGACGTTCCCATATTGCTTGTGATATGAAATATATTTTGAAAAAATATATTTTTGAAATTGAAATATATTTTTTATAATGTAATATAAAGTAAACCAGAAATTTCAAGACAAGCTTTTACACGTAAAAGCGAGCTCCTTGTCCCACGGTCATATTTTTTTTTAATTGTACATTTTACGCATTTATATGTCATTTTAAACTCTTCAACAAGAATTTTATCACATGGTGAGAATTTTGTATATTTAGGCGAATGATATACAAATTTATAATATAAAAAATTATTTATAAAATAATAAATAAATAAAAAGTGTAATTGTGTGTGTTGTATCATACATCATGTATCTCGGATATAAGGAAATTAGAAAAAAATATGAACACAAGGAACTTTAATAATACATTATTACAATTTTTGTTTTTAAACCTTTTTCGAACATATTATATTAAATAAATTATAACAAATATTGTGGTTCGTGAAGAAGAGTACATAAATAAGTTGCATTTTATAATTTAACTTTGTATATCAATCTATATAAATTTCCACGAAATTTACAGCAAGTTTACAAAAATGCAGACACCGATCAAATTTGTCCTGTATCATCGACCATACAATAAATATGGGCGCTTTAGTTAGTTATCTACTCACTATCTGTAGATTAGACTTCAGACTGTGGGTGTTGGCCACTCGCGCTCACACAAGATGAGTTAGACTTCCACTGCGAACTCTTACTTCTCTAGGCTCCAAGGTTGCTGGAGGTCTCCTTTCTTGCACGAATTGTTGCACGTTCGAGCCATATGTCACAGTATGATGTCCTGATGATCGCGTGTTCGTCATAATTACGTACTCCGTTAAAATAACATCCGCAGTCCCGCCGGATTCGAGAGGTATCGGGTTCTGACGAAAGTGCTCTATCATATCGAATATTGCAGGAAAGCATAGATGTTGGACACGACAATGACCTTGATCATTCAATGTCATCCGCAAGTGCTGTAACAAGAAGTAGTGTAATAAGATTGTTTCTTTATTGAAAGAAGCATAAGAAATAATATCTGTTATTACTTTTGCTCTTCCTTGAAAATTGAAAGTTAATACATATTCGCCTTTTCTGGTTTCACTTTGCCGAATCAGAAATACACCGTGACCACTAGCTGCTCTATGTAATACGAGTTGCGCGGCATCGGAGCGAGGAAGAGTACCATGAAACCATGCATAACCTCGTAAATTATTCGAAAAATCCCCCTCACCCTCATTTGCTGCAAGTAAATGAATATGTAACTTGATTTAATCTCGATTACTCCGATAATATTAATTTTATAATACGCGTACGAATTTATTTCTTACTTTGATCGACATCTTGAGAGGAACGTAATTCTAAATTACTGCTACTACGTATATCATGGCCTCTTGTAGATATTTCAGATGGATTGCCTGGGTCATCTTGTTCATGACTAGCGGATCGGTGCTTACTCGCCGAATTGGCTCGTATTCGCTCAACATCAAATCCAGCAAATGAACTGTGGCCAAGGGAATCTCCTAAAGAATCACCCAGTCCAGAACCAGGTGCGCTAAGACTTTGTTGCACTTTTCGCATGCAATACCTAATTGTTGCTAACCATGATTTCATATCATTCGAGTCATGTGCCTCTATAATAAATTCCATTCCGTTTTGAGTTTTCAGAATAAATGTGTTTTCGTGATCAGGCATTTCGAGCGCCGTGGATTCCCTCGCTTCCGTTATCGCAGAACAAAAAACGCCGCTTCGTGGTTTCACATCTTTCGGCGGGGAATAAAATTCTAGCATGTATCCACCAATTGCTTTTATCAATGCTAATCGCGACTTTTCCCATACTTTTTTCTCTATATTATCTCCCATTATAGTATTCATAATTCCCTCTTTCCTACATTCTACCACGATTTTCGACAACTTAGCTTTGGAGTGCTTATCCTTGCGATGTTCAATGTGAGATAATTCCACTTCATCGCTTTGTTGTTTATGGAAGAAACCCTTGCCCTTTTTAAGTCCCTTAAAAGATAATCTACGGAAGAAAGGTTTGTGAGCAGGTTTCGGCGATACTGCTTCTCCTTCATGTTCAGAATAGTCGCTGAATTCTTCATGTGACGACGCCAAGGCTGGTGCATTAGTAGCATTTTGGCTTGCAAGATTTGTATTTCTGTCATTGGATGCTATACTCCTAGTATCATGCAATGATAGTGATCTGCAAAATATAAAAAAAACATGTAGCTTTTGAGATATAATTCAATATGCAAAATTTAATAAGAAAAAGTTAACATTAACATTATAGATGAGCTATAAAAGCAAAATCATACAAAATTAAAAAAAAATAGAAATTGATAAAACAGTAAGAAGACAGTATATATTACAGTAGAAATACAGTACACATTACAGTAGAAATACAGGATTACGAACAATTTCTTTGTGCATATAATACAAATTTTATATTTCTATTTATTTGTCTTTTTTAAATATAATGTTAATGTATCATTTTTATTTAATTTTCTATTAAAATATCCCTTTACACATAAATGCATACACATTCTATATTTCTATGTATAATTTATATATAGATAAACAATAATAGCCACACAATATTTATACATCTGTATTTAATTTCTTAATTTAAAAAAATACTCAAAATGACAATGTAATGCATATATAATATGGTAATTTTAAAAGTGAATCTTAAATAAATTCAAGTCCTTTTTATATTTTTGCATGCGAAACATGAATATCATTGATTTGTGTTAAGTAGATTAAGTGTTCCTAGAGGAGAGAAAAGAAATTTAAGACAAGAGATTAAAGAGATTATGCTATGAAACTATCCTTGTGTATGTGTGTGTGTCCTATCTCTTCTAAGAAAATGTTATCTAAAAATGTACATTGTACAAAGAAATATTAATAAGCATGAACTATAAGTAAATCTTAAAATACATCTCTCTTCTCTCTGAGTTCTACAGAGATTTTGCAAAAAATTGTAATAAAAATAGCTTTGCACTATAGAGAAATAAGGTTCTAAAAAAAGGCTGATCTCAACAATCCTTTTTATATGTCTTTTTTGTAACCAACACTTGAACAATTTATTATATTCATATAATAATTTTTTTCTTGTTTTGGACTCTACATTACCCATTGAAGCATTGACATATAAAATAAGAATCACTTTATACATACACACACACACATGTGTGTGTATGTGTGTGTGTGTGTGTGTGTTAGAAAGATTACTCCAATGTTTACTTCTCACATTTCAAAGGTTAATGATTCTACACAACTAATGTGTAATAATAACAACATAGAATCCGACTGCAACGCACGTACCTTACGCTCTGACGCAAATACTCGTTCTCGAAGTGCTCACGGAAACTTTCGAGAAACTTTGTGAGGAAGTCGCGATGCGGGAGATCGGTGCGGGCGCTCTCGGGTAAATTGAGATTGACGTAGGTGCAGAATGCCTTAGCGAAGTCGGAGGCCGAGGCGCGGGCGTGTCTCTCGCAGAACTCGATCCAGCCGGTCGCTGTCTCGGGCGACGCGGCGATCGCCGTGGACGATGTGGCCGTCGTCGTCGTCGTCGTCGTCGTCGTTGTAACCGGTACCACCGTCGCTGCCACCGCCGTCCTCGCCGTCGCCGTCGCTGTCACCGTCGCCGTCGCCGTCACCGTCGTCGCCGTCTCCGTCACCGTCGTCGTCGTTGACGTCGTCAACGTAATCGCCGTAACTATCGTCGTCGTCGTCGTCGTCGATGCCACTATTGCCGTCGTATTTATCGCCGGCGATATAGCGGTACTCGGCGTGTTCGCAGTGTAAACACTCATTACCGGCGTCTGACTCGCGAAGGGGGCGGAAGATCTCCCCCCCTTGTGTCGCCGCCACTACCACTGCCGTCGTCACCACCCGTCGCCCTTCACTCCCATCCACCGTCTCCGCCAAAGAGTGCCGTCACTCGTCGTGGGACTTTCTTTCACGGTCGCAAACCGCGCGACTGTTGCCGAGAAAGGATGCAGGCCCGCGCGTTTGACATATCACATCCGCGTGCACCCTCGTTCGCGTCTCTCCCCCGCGTTACACCGGACACATCCACCGGATGGAAAACTAAATACGGCGGTTGCTGAATGGCGTAGCAGTCGAATAACACGCTAAGGTCGACGGGGAAGGGGAAGATAATACATAACAGAATATATGAGAGAACATTGATATGACTTTTTATGTCAAGTTTAGCGGATTCGTGGAAAAGAACGAGTCGCGACAGCTGGGCTCGACTGCTTTTGAATGAATTGGCATTATTCGATGTATATTTCTCCTGCTTTATTATATTATTTTCTGCAAAACGGAGAGCTAAGTCGGGATAAGACGGGGACCGATGAATTTTTCGAACAACCAAATTCTGAGGAAAAAATCCCTCGTTTCACCGGTCACTCGCGTATACTTGCATTTATCAACGATTTCTTATTTTTCCTGTCTCTCTCTCTGCATCTCCCGCTGCCGGTGAATGATAGCGATCGACAGTGGCAGCGGCGATTTTCTCGAAAACATATCGAATGCGCATCCGGCGTTAATCTTATCGCACACGCGCGCTCTTCAAAGTAACGATCTACTTCGTGTACGGGATGCACGCGTTCAAATCGTCGTTCCGTGAAAATGTCAGGAAATATTTATGGACATTATGAAATTGCGAGACACACACACGCACCAAAACTACTGGCGCACTCTACTCCGCTTATCATGCGTTAAGGTTAGGCGATCGCGTGGTTTCGCACATGAAAATTCGCATTTACGTCATCAGTCATAAATCACAGCGGTATATACAGTCGCGCCACCCATCTGATTTTGACAAGATGAAAAGTTTTCAGCAAGAGACATCGATAAGCATAATGTCACATTATTGGCTATCACATCATTGACTGAAAGCATTTTTCAGAATTTTAAAAACTCTATTCGATAGTCAATTGCGCGACTTTCAATGAATAACAACAAACAGAGATAGAATGACACTTGTGTGGGAGCGTCCCATTTGACCACGTTGCGATTGACCACAGCCAATTATATCGACCTGTGCCTAGGGAACCAGCAACGATTAACCAATCAGAGAGTCCTATTTTGAATTGGCCAATTGGCGACGTGGTCAATCGGGTGCCACTCCACTTGTGTCAACTTGTATCGTTAAATGAAAAGCACCCATTGTGTTTACCTGTGTTTACTCGCTCGAATCTTCTCTGTCACGCTTTCACGGAATTATTAAAAGTTGTCCAAAACGGAGTCGATGTTGGCCCATCGTTTTTACCGAGTCTTCTAATTAGAATAATAAAGATTGAAAAAAACATAAAGAAATGATCGAATCTTGTACGAAGAAGCGAATGCTGCTAGGTATTACATTTTTAGGAGGGTTAGTTATAACTTGTATATACTTTGTATTAATGTCATCGGTAGATAATTGAAATTATTAAAGCATTAATGTAATTTTTGTGTTATTAATTATATAAAACATAACGAGAGTAAATAATTTTATTTTCTACAGATTAACGGTTTTAGCGTTAATTATTGAGAGCCACTGGACAAACAGCTCGAATAAACTTTACGTTGACAATTTTGAAAATAATTCCTCTTGCATCTCGAGTGATGAATATGAAGTGATATCCGAATGTCATCCGTGTACAGCTTTTGAAATTGCTAGCGAAAGTATCGGCGTTTGTATTCATGCGAGATATAAGGAAGTGCTAAAGTGTAAAAGTGGGGAAACGATAACAAGAAGGTAAAACCTAATATATTCATATAACAATGCTATGTTTTCACATGTGTGCATTTTATATTACAGTTGTGACAAAGTAGCTTGGCTGGAAGAAAGAACATTTTGGAAGTTTGAGGGTTTTATGTTCGCCTCAGCGATTATTTCTTGCCTCAGTACATATTGGAGAGAAAATATATTAAGACAGAGAATGATCAGAAAAGTAGCAAAACAGTTGCGAATTAGTGTCTGAATGCTATTGGAAACTGAGAAAGATAAGACATTTTATATATTTTATATTTTTGTGTATATTTGAGGAAGAGAAATGAGTGAAGTGTATTTAGCAATATATTCTACAGCAGACTTATGTCTTGCACCAATAGAAACGATAATAACTCTATTTACCATAAAATATTGCAAATCCTTGATTAATATCAAGTTAATACCAACCAAGCAAGATTTAACTGAACAAGCATACACAATAAATCTCTCGAATTTTACTTATGAAGTTATAAATGTAAATGAAATACCTTATTATGCAAGCTTGTGCGAATTACCAAATATCATTATAAATGAAAATAGCTGTGTGGCTGGTTTGTGTACAGTCTTGAGGCAAATTGTAAAGGATGTTAGCACAGAACATTCAATGTATTACTGTAATAAGTTATTAGGATTTAAAGGTTCTTGCTTGATGGCTTGTTCAGAGGCAAGCATATGGACTAAATTTTGTGAAGTTGATCTAATTTTAACTTTGAAATCTTTAGATAAAAAAAATTTAAATACACCTGAACTACCTATTAGTTTAGCCAGATTTGAATGTCACATGTCTCAACCAGTTAAATTGCATAATTTATATAAATATACAATGTGCAAAAAATTTGCTACGCTTAATGTAGCTAAACAGGATGGAACAGGCTTGCTGGAACATACATATGCGGAAGGCACATACATTACACTAGCTGATATAATCATATTTGTGTGCATGCACATTCTGCTGAATATGTTTTCAAGTGAAACAATACTAAAATTGGTACCTCTAACAGTCAAATGGTACAATAGGATGTTGACAGATCAGTTTATAATAAAATGTTTAAATTATTTACCTTTGCTAAAGAGTCATAATTCAAATATGCTTCAATATACATTTCCAGCTGTAGTAAATGAAAGCTTATACAAAAGTGATCCTAAACGGTATAAACCCAAAAATTGTGGATACACGAAGCAAGAGGATATACAACATTCATTGCAATTAGTTGAAGACATAAATATTTCAATGGAACTTGATGCTGAACCCTTTGGTACAGAAATAAACCTGGATTGGTCTAATGTACCTTTCGATGCTACACCAGAAGGTGGTTCACTGCCACCAGTGAGATTGCAGCGTAAGCAAGAGCAATTACAAAACTTGTGCAAACCTGTTCTGAAATTGGCCAAAACAGGCGACGTCATTGTAGATTTTTGTTCGGGTGGTGGACACTTGGGAATATTGATAGCATATTTATTGCCTGATTGTACGATTATTCTTCTAGAGAATAAAGAAGAATCTTTGAACAGAGCCAAGAAAAGAGTCCAAAGATTAAAATTGATAAATGTAAAATTTTGCCAATGTAACTTGGATTATTTCAAAGCAGATTTTGATATTGGCACATCATTACACGCTTGTGGTTTAGTTACCGATTTAGTTATTCGATGTTGCATACAAAAGAACGCGACTTTTGTGAGTTGTCCATGTTGCTATGGTTCATTGCGAGATTGTCATCAGTTAACATATCCGCGAAGTGATATTTTTAAGAAGCATATTGGTAATAAAGAATACTCATTTTTAAGTCATGCTGCAGACCAAACGCACGAGGCATTGAATGTTAAAACCAAACAAGGCTATAGATGCATGGCAATTGTAGATACAGATAGAAAATTATTTGCTGAACAATTTGGATACAAAGTTTATTTTGCAAAACTAATTCCAGAAACATGTACACTTAAAAATCATTTGTTAGTTGGTATACCAAACGATAAATTAACAAATGTTTAAAAACTTATTAATATTCTATTGCAAATAAACATTCTAATTAAAAAAAGATCATATATTCTTGAATTGTATCAATAATTTCTGTATATTGATAATATGGAGATACATTTTGTATATACGAGACTAATTAATATAATATTTTAAGATCAATAATTATAGCTATATGTATGATATTAAATCATATAAATTTCTTTTAAAATAAGACATGCAAAAATAAAAATTATATATCATCATTATGATGAAAAAATAAACTTATATAAACAAATTCTGAAATTTTTTTGGTTTCAAAACTTTATTTAAATTAATATTTTTTATTTTAATTAATTAATTTAAATTAATTTATAATGCAAAATGAAATACTATCACTTATATAAGAATACGTATAAAATTTTAAAAACTAATAATGATGTAATTATTTATAAAAAAAATTGAAAGTCCAGAATTATAAGAAACGATATATTAGACAAATTAATTTTAGAAATCTGAATCTGAGGAGAAATCTTATATTTTCTATTTTAAATTTTTCGTTAATCTATGCATGCGTGTCATAAATGATAGGAATGCGCATATGTCGAAAAATTCCACTATCTAGAATCACTGCACATAACATTCTGATATCCAATAGAAAATATGGATTGTAACTAATATTTTCTTTCCTAGGAAACAAATTCTCTTATTGGATGTCGAATATCAGACATAGGGCGTTTTCGAATGGTCGGATTTGACCAGAAGAATATATGGTTACATTCTTCAGAAGAATAACTGTGATTGGTCAATGATGTCTAGTAAACTACTCAGGTCAAGTCAAACCCGACCATTCGAAAATGCTCATAAATTCTACATTATTACATCTATTAATGTTTGTATGTTAATGGATTTGAGCGCATTTAATTTGATGGTCTTTATTTACGTCGCACGTGGTTGAAACTACTGACTACTTTTAAGCTAAGTAACAAAAGATTATTTTTCATTATCGTGATGTCGTTTTTCATTAGAAATTCTAATCGAAGAGGTGGACCACAGAAACGCAAGTACACAGTACGTTACAATTTATTTTATTTTCTGGAAAAAATTACATGGTTATCTCTTTCCTCTATTTAAAGGTTAGAATTAAACTCGTGAAAAATGAAAAGTTTTATTGAATATTAAATTCGTCAAAAACTTTTCATTAAGGAAAAAGATTCATGATCGATTCCCAGAAGAGATTAGTATAATTATTTTACTTTTTTCAACTTCCGTGTATTGTTGTAAATAATATTGTTGTATATAAATATATTATTATAAATATAGTGTATTAGATACAGTGTATTAGATCAATCGATTAGAGACTAGAGGATAAAGAGATAGAAAACATCAATTATGATATTAACTATTTATTATACTAATAACTGTCATATAATTAAAAAATATGTAATTATATTATATAGTTCAATAGTTACTATGGTAAAATATCCAAAACTCAGTCTACAAAGCGATTAAAAAAAGCAAATAAATCTGTAGATGATGACAATGAAAGTATTGCTAGTACAGATGAAGAAATTGCAGAAGAAAATTTAAGGTAATATAATCAAATATATTGAAAATATATGAGATTATAAAAAAATTTTATATCTTTAAAAATAACAGGAAAAAAACAGAAAAGTTTGAAAGTGAAACAGAAGAAGAAGAAGAAACTGCACAACAAAAGAATTTGAGACTTGCAAAGAAGTATCTTCAAGAAATTGAAGAAGAAGGTACAAAAAAATTCTTATTTTATTTAATTATATTATCTTTAAAGAATCATGCTTATGTAATAAAATTACTTTTATAAAATCATAGAAAAGGATAGAGCAGAATTTGAAGAGGGTGCAGTTGCACGGAGATTACGTGAGGAATATTTAGAGCAAAAGGGCCGACTGAGAAAAACTGTAGCATCAAATTATACTGGCCACAAAGAACTGATACCATTAAGGTGTAAAGAACATAAAGGACCTATTACTTGTATTTGTCTTTCCAATGATGGTAGTATATTATACTCAGGATCCAAAGATGGCAGTTTAGTTAAATGTAAGTTCATAAATTTAAATGAATGAATGATTGAATAACAAAAATAAAAAAAAAACAATGATATTTAAAGAGCTTTATTTATAAATAATATCAATTATATATATATGTGATTGTTAGGGTCAGTAAAGGAAAAGGTTAAATTAAAAGCCATTAGAGGAAAAAGAGGAAAAACGAAAGATGGAATTAAATCTATACGGTGTATGGCAATTAGTACAGATGGAAAATTTCTGGTGAGTTCAAATAAAACTTTTTTTTTATTTTATAAAAATATTTTATGATAAGTTTCATCAAGAGATGTAAATTCTTTCTCACTAGGTAATAGGAGATAGTGGATGCAATGATATAAAAGTGTTTTCTGGGGATACTTTGGATCATATAAAGAATCTACAAGGTCATAGGAAGTTCGTATCTGGATTGATATTTCGAAAAGATACTCACACGTTATATTCCGCGTCCGAAGATAGGAGCGTGAAAGTTTGGAACTTGGATGATATGGTTTATGTTGAATCTTTGTAAGCAATTTTATTTGCAATGCTAGTATTTTTTGCTACTTTATTTTATCTTGGAATCATTTTTTATTGTAATATTCTCTCTTATAGATTTGGACATCAGAGTGGTATTACATTTATTGACGCACTTTCACGAGAACGCGCTATCACGAGCGGTGGTTACGATGGGACCATTAGAATATGGAAAATAGTCGAAGAATCGCAGTTAATATTTAATGGACATAGTCTCGGTAATAGCATCGATATAGTTAAGCTTATAAATGAAGAGAACTTCCTCAGCGGGGGAGATGATGGACAACTCTGTGTTTGGGGATGTTTGAAAAAAAAGCCGCTGTGTTCAGTGCCAGAGGCGCATGGAAAGGATGAAATTAATGACCAACCAATGTGGATTTCAAGTATCGCAACATTGTTAAATACAGATTTAGTAGCATCAGGTATGTTATTATCTTTATATATTTATTTGGATGTGTATATATAAATATATATATATATATATATATATATATATATATATATATATATCATTGTCTACATTTTCTTTTTTTTATATTGTGGTTTTTAGGATCGCGAAATGGCGTCATCAAATTATGGCAATGTGGTCAGGGTTTTAGATCTTTAAATTTGTTGTTTGAAATTAAACTGACAGGTTTCATAAATGCACTCGCTTTTACATCTGATGGAAATCAGCTTATTGCTGGTGTAGGTACTGAACATAGAAATGGTAATTGGTGGCGAATACCAGAAGCAAAAAATGCTATTGTTATTATACCATTGATACATGAATAAAAAAGACAACTAGTCTTTACTATTATTAAAATATTTTACATAATATCTATATGTGTGTACATAATTTATATCTGATTATAGATTATTACATCTTTTTAGATATCAACATTATATTTTTTATAATTTGTATAAAACGCTTTATACTTACTTTCCTCTCATTTTTAGCAGTTACATTAAAAACAAAAAATATTCAAATTAAAGATAAATACAATTTTAGCTGAAATTAATTAAAAAATTTATAAATGCAATTTATAAATGCGATACCAATCTTATTGCGATGAAAGGTATATACATTTAACAACGTGTGAATGAAATGAAAGAAATATTGGTCCACAGTACAAGTATTTATTTATTCTGTACAAAAGTTGAGTTATAAAATATTATGTCCCTATTTTAGGTCTTGTTCTTAGTCTTGTATACCATGCCGTCTTGTGAGTCTACGTTCGTATAATAACAATATCGCCGCATGGAACGTTCATACTCGTCCGAAAGCGTTTTTTCACATTATTCCGATATTTCGCGAGTTATTCCGCGCAAATAATACGCGCGCAATCCCGGCTTCGCTTCCGGGCGATCACCAACGTTCTGCTCACGCGAATTTTGGACTCACCATGTACATATAAACCAAACCGATTTTTTTATCCGCATATTTATTCAAGTCAACAAACAGTAGTACAGCGTGTGTACGCTACTTCTTGTGCATTCTTGCGATAAGTTTTCAAACGAGTGCGATATATAGGCCATCCTTAATGGGGGGAGGGGGCATACCACCCTTCCATCGTCTCGTTTTTCTTCTTTTTTTATTTACTGACTGCTTTACTGTCCCTCCAGGCCGTAAGGGTGCTATTCAGTGTGTTTCTTTTTTTTAAAGGTTCTCAAGCAACATCGTCTTCTGCAAAAATACGCGATTAAATCTCTCCCTGTTTCTCTTCAAGCTGGCGCTAATCTTTACCAGATGGATTCTGAGATTCATCCTCATCCCCCTTTTCTCGTCACAATTGTTTCTTACATCTCCCTTTTTTTCTTCACGACATTGTCTTGTTTAATTATTAGGAGCTTTTGATGGAGTTGAACATGTATAAATTGCTATAGACGTAGCGCTTTTATTCTTTTCATCGATCTTTTTATCCTATTGACCATTAATTTTTTGGCAGTAATTTTCTTGTTTTTTGAAAATAACCCAGATTTATCAAAGTATCAAAGAGTCGGTTTAGATCTAGAATCTAGAATCTAATAATAAATGATTCGTGTTTGACAGACTCGCTTGAATATGACAATGCCTTTTCCTCTCTTGAAACGGAATTGGGCGCGCGCTACTCCCGTTTCTCTTGGTAATAAATCACTTATTCTGCTTATTTTTATTACAATAAACTGCATCTGTTTTTATAGATATTTGACTGTGTGATGTATTGTTGCTTTATTGTACAATATTGTGTAAAACCACGAAAGCGATTATTTTATTGCTATAGAAAATCTTATCTTCGCCCAATTCCGTTCAATATACATAGTTTGGATTTTTTTTCACCGTCGAAAAGGATTACAATAATCGCGGGAAGAGAGATGCGTCTTTGATGCGCTCGTTGCATATTAGATATGGATCGATATTACATTGAAAAGATATTACATTTATAGCGCTTTAATCTGCCGAAGAAAAATGATCGAGGATACGCGTTGTAACATAATTCCTTAAGCGTAATATGATTAAATTTTCGTCAAATGTGCAATGCAAAACAACAGAATAAATGTAGAAATGCACATACTATTCTCGTGAGACGAGTATTTGTTTTCTATTTATCGTACAATTTCTTAAGTAGTTGATAGACTTTACGTACATATATAAAAGTATTAAGTATTACGATAACGGTTTGCATTCGACTGATATAATTATGCTATTAATAAAGCGTTGTACATCATTTTTATGGTGTTTCTGAAAAAATTAACTAGAAAAAGAAAGCAGAATTTGTGTGTGTATGCGAAATAATATTTATTGCTTTTTTAAGTTCTATTAAATTGAACTTAAAATTAGCAATATTAGCAAAACATTGGAACGTATTTTTTATTCTGTTGGAATGTACCGAAGTTTATTGGCTCATCTCTTTAGATGATTTCTGATTCTGTCTTTGTCTTTGTTCTTTTGTTAGCAGCATTAATTGAATTGACGATAACAATTAAATATGGCAGTTTTATTTCGCAAAAATGACGCTTTTATATCAAATAAATAGAGCAGTTGTTGTATTATATTTCGCGCAACGTGTATCTATATATATATGAATTAAAAATATATTTATATTAAAAAAATTTTATAAATTACTTGAGCTTTGTTAATAGCGTTTTTTAATTATAGATTTAGTGACAATAGCAGGAATATTCAATTATAATTTAAAAAATATTTCTTTTAGATAAAAATTTTTAGGCCTCTTCCCATGGCGTAAAAATATATAAAAAGATTAGATTTGAATCAAAATTAGGACAACAACATTTAGGAACAATATTTTAGATTAATAAAGCTTTTAACATATTCGAGATCGATATGTGTATAGTTAACTTGAGTATAAATCATGACAGATATGCGAGAAATCATTTCTATATAATACGTAATGTCTCTTTTTTTTCTGCTTCTTACAATATGTATATGTATGATAACATCTACTTATTTTAACGGATCTTGCAAATTTAGAATCATACTTCTTGACCAACGCATTAATATGAACGAACGATTAAAATAGAAGAATAGACTAGAAGTTGCATTACCCAAGTGAATTAGTGCCAAATGTTGTTATTTGTCTGTGATTTATACGACACAAGTCGAGTAGATCGTGCATGCTTTGTGCATCGACTATCTCTTTTGTACTAACAGCAAGATCGCGCGTAAGATAGGACGGTCCATATTTTATAACGAACATTATTTATTTACTAGAAATTATAAAAATAATTTAGCATATGCGCAAGAGCAAAAGTTACAACATATATTTATATATTAAATAAATACTTTTTACAGAAGATAAATATTGCTATGTTGAATATTTTCATTTCTTAATCACTAGAATTATGAAATCTAATTTGCAATATATTTATTCGTGTTGCACGATAACAGATTACAAACTAGATAAGCCATGATTCTCTTTAAATACATAGAAACCTATGCGATTAATGTACTATTTTTACAAGAATACTATACTTTCTAAATCCTTCTGGACCGTCCTTTCTCTTTCTCCTTTTTCCCTCCTCTGTTCCTTTTCTCCAGACTTTTCCGACAAACAGGAATGATTTCCGCAAGGTATTTCGAAACAAAATACGATGCAGCTAGTCCCCCGACCTTGATGCACGATTTTCCTTTTCTTTTTTTTTTTTTAAATTACTTTCGTTTGCCATCGATATACTTCGCTATATATCGACATACATATAGAATATACCTACATAAATTGTGTAACACCGACGAGCCTACGCTCCCACGCGTAGGACCACGTACATCTTGCTCGCCACCCGCCTTTCATTCTCAAGCATCCATCGCACGCGTGCTTGCGTGCAGATTGCGTTTACATGAACGCAGTTCTAGATATATCGTGTGCTTCACTTTACCTTCGTGCTCTTTCTCACATTCTCTTTCTCTCACTGTTTCGCATTCTCTCCCTCTCTTTCTCTCTTTATCACGCGTATATAATCTCGCTGCATAGCATAGTTTCGCGACAGCTGCATGTCTGTGACATGTATGTGATGTGTGCCTTGTGTCTGCATGTAAACTTTGTTTACGTTTATCTCTTTTTTTATACACTGTTATCTGCAATTTTTTTGGTTGATTATGGCGTTTTTCCTGTTTTTTTTTGCAACCTGTGGTCGCTCGTTTAAATACTATTTCGCTATAGTGGACTACCGTTATGAATGCTACGCTACTTTGTATTGTATCCTGTAACGCTTCGTAATAAACAACTGGTACTGTACTTGAATGTGCATACTGGTGAACACACGCAATCTATAAGGTTCCGTTCCAAGGATACCATACGCGGCGGCGAACCGAGCACGGAATAAAAACGGCAAGGTACACTCGTTAACGAGCCTTACCGATCTCTAGCGAGATCGTGGATTTTTAATTAATATCTCAACGCGTGGACGTCATGGTTCATTGTTCACGGAATGCGCTGCATTCGATAAAATAATCTCCCGAAACAAATTATTATACATCATATATATCCAGGCACGAAAAATCGGGTAATTGTTATAAAAACGTTGCATCAGAATCGAAGTATATGTAATTGACAAATTCTATTATTGAAATATTACAATGCCAAAAAGAAGATAAATAAACTTTTATCTTATTATTTTTAATTTTCATATTTTTTGTCTTTTATCGTGAGCATGTATCAGTTTTCAAAATCTTTTTTCTATTAATTTATTTTATTATAAGGTGAATGATTTGGTTAATTTACGATATAAAGCGTCGCGTATGGTAACCGTGACATCGAGAGTGTATATGTATGGGTCCTGTATGCTCCGGTTACAAAATAATATACGCAACGTGAGAAATCACTGACTAAGTGCTTGGCTCCACACTCGAATCTGCTTCCTGTTTAATTAGTGTTCTTCGATTATGAATAGTTTAATCGTAGTTTATAATTAACCACTCTGTTATCTTCTCCATCTTTTTAAAAATCTTAGACATCAACATACATTCATTTTTTTTATTTTTATAATAAATCATTATTAGAAACCTATCTCGTACTCGCTATGCACTTTAATATAAATTTATCGCGTTTATCGTTATTAATCGTTAATTTATTTACAGACGCGAATATTTACGAATTTCACATCTCCTCGCTCTTTTTACGTTAATTAATTAATTCATTATAAACCGCACGGCCGTGTTGTCAGCGCGGTGGATATTTTACCCTCGATCTCGAGAAGAGAGGAACAAATATTTTTTTTCCTTTATAATGTGCATGGATATACGCGCGATATATCTCTCGTTTGTGCGAGAGGCAACCGCACGCGTCTCGTCGGGCATTCTTTTTTGTTCTTGTACACGCACACGAGTAGATAATTATGTAAGCGAGGTGGCATACCGAACGTAAGCAGACGGGAATTCGGGTCTCCTCGGGATGGACGTGAAGCGTATCCTGTGTTTTCGCTTTTTTCTCTTTTTTTAATCCTATCTCGGACGTTTATTTACACGTGTTTAAGTCGTATCGTGACGGATCTATGAAATCGCATGAATCGAAATATAGATCCGACTTAACGACCGCGTAGTATCTCATTGTGTATACATGTTACATCTATTTACATATGTCTCTGAACAAACAAATCCACCAAAGATGCGTTCTATTTGTTGTTAAAAAAATACTTTCTTCCTCCTCTGCAGCAGGACGCCTCACGCCTCGCGGTCTGCGATATCGTGGTGTGTGGATAAAATGGATGTGAATGAAATGTAAATAAAAGAGGGATAAATAAAATAAAAAGAAAAGTAAATTTTTGCAGTGAGTGACCTTGTCTATTTTCTATATCGAATAATTCGAGTCTATATTATTGTTATAGCGTGTTCGCTTATCGTTCGCGCGGATGATTACCATTCACGTTAATTCACGTATCATCTCTGCGCACATCGTCTTTCGCATACGAATAATCGATCAAACGGTGATCAATTTCTCTTTTTGCAACTTAAAGTAAGTAAATTCAACTCGTGATCGGCGATATTTTCACAATTCCTAACAATGCACAAATATAGCACAATAAGCGAGCGTATTCATTCGCTAAGCGAAATTTAAGATCTCGCAAAATGAGATTGCTGATTATGTGTATAATATTAAAGATATGATAGCCCTGGTTGAAAAATGTTTTAATTCCTAAAAATGCTTTTAATATTCATAATTATTAAACGAGTATCTTTACGACTGTTGATTGATTTATTTCAGAAATAATAATAAATAAAGATACTAATTAAAAGAATGTTGCAACAATTGACAACTTCTGGATCATTAAGGAATTATTGAGGCAGCAATTGACTATATATTTATAAACAGTACATTTTTGTTGCCAATAGGTATAAGATTGTTGACTATATGACGATGCATCAGAACATTTCAACCAGGGAAATCAGAGATAAATATTTTTAACATAAATGTCCTTATTTTAACAAATTCGGAACATTTTGTAATATGATAATGATTGTCTGCGGATGCGCGCGGCAATTTGCTGAATATTATTTATAAAAGGATGTAAATTTTGAAACAATGATCGAATGGAATCGTGAAATATCGTGTGAAATATTGCCCATTTTGCTCGCCGTATTATTACGAGAATACAACACAAAAAATACAGACACTTAGGCATATTATAATACTGCTGCTGAATTTCCGCTGTATATTCGCAATTCTCGGTTGATCGTAATCATTCGCTGTTGTCGTAATCGTAGACGCAAGTAGGGACGATAAATCATGAATGAACTCGTCGAAAGCGAGCCGGGTCACGTCGAACAATCTTCAACTTGTAAGGACTATTGTTTCGCTATCTAAAGATCCTGAGTCAGGATCTCTTATTCTCTCTTATCTCACACGCACGCATCCGCACAGGCACTCAGATACATTCTCTTGTCACGGTATTCATTTTCCGCATAAATTCGTATTTACAATAATTCGTTAGTGTAATTGCGCTTGAAATTTTCTTTTTTAGCAGACACGAAAGAAAAATTACTCACTGCTTCATCTTTCTTCCTTGTATGTGTTTACGCACGCATGTGCCGTATGAACGCGTATACGCAATCTCGCTTTCGACGCACGTGGCGTCGCATGAAAGATGAATCTGCAAGTATGCGGCATGAAATGTACGTATACACGCGTGTGACATCATACGTGCGCGAGTCTTTTTTTTAGTAAATAAATACAATAATAAAAAAAAGAAAACCTATATAGCATCAATAAATCGGAAACATGATTGAACAATTAATTAATTAGATACCGTGAATAGTTTGAATAGAAATATTATCCGTGTATAATATATAATATATAATATTTGGAACGGAATCAAAAACGAGGAAAATAACAAATGTCAGGAATTGGCCTTGGGGGTTTATTTGCGCCACGATCGCCGCTTCACCCCCGGCGCCGATAGTACGTTAATTTATTTGTTATTAAATTTGATATTTCACTAGCGAATATAGAATATCGAGTGTTGAATATTCGTAGCGTAATGATAATGCATAATAAATATAATACAGATCTCTATAGATAGAAGTCTCGGTATGGTACAGCTATTATACAAATCTGTCTCTTACTCGATTCACGACTCAGTCTCTCTTGCATGCTATTTTTTATTTATTCGTTCACTCTTTTTCTCCATCATCTTTCTTATCTAACAGCTTGAGTCAATGATACATGCAAATTGTTGGTGACTCGCAACGATGACATAATTAGTTCGATATAATGGCAAAAACTCGCACAAGTTCATGTCTCGCGTTGCTTTGTTCGACGAGTACTTTTACACAGTGCTCGCATAATCACACTTTCTCTTTCTGATACACATTCTCTTCGTTTCTTTCTCTCATAATATTTATCTAGAAATACGGCACTCTTTCTTAAATCTCACTGGCCCCCTGCTGCCCATCGGCATACAAGACGACCAAGAGCCACTTGTACATATTCATTAGGAATTTATTTACACGCGTGCTAATTATCCTACTCATGATCTCGCACGCGAAATCGAATGATCCTTCGTCCTCGGCGTCCTGTTCTTGGCTGAGTATCCGCAGCGATCGATCTGAGCTTAAACGCCGCGTGAGAGACATGATTACTCCCATACGATTCTTTTAATTTTTTGACCCTTCAACTAATCATCAAGGAACGAGATGTTGTATCGACGACTTAGAGTCATAGAATCTACGAGATTCCTGGGAGATTCTCAATAAAGATCGCAATTGTTCGCTCTGGATCGTCTTGGCCGCGAACCGGAAATATTCCGAATAAGAATTTTCAGGTACTCTTTTCTCGGGGCACAGCGTGCTCGGATGATCGCACTTGGAAAAAACCATGACTTTGTCGATTCCATGCAAGGACCCCTTAACGAAGGATCGTTCGTCGTCGTTGGTCGAGCTTACGCGATATTTTGTCCTGAATTATAGGATTCGCGACGCTGGAATGAAAGAGACGCGATCTCTGACGGATTTTCTCGCGTAGCCCTGCTACTAATATACTAATAGACTCCGTTTTTCTCTCGTACACTTTCTTCGCTTGAGGATACTTAGCACGCTGCCTATGACTCCCACTTCGGTTTCTGTCGATATTCGAATAAATAGCTATCAGCGTAATGATAAAAAGGACAACCAATACGACTACCATTTATAGTAGTAATAATAATGGGCGTGTACTATAAGTAGTGTCTAATAGTAGCATTTTCCTTTTTTCCGCTTTCTCTATTTCCCGTCCTACCTTCGGCTTTGTCGACTTTGTAGTCTGGTATTCCATCTTGGAACCCTGCTAGTTTGTATTAATTGTAGTTAATATGGCGTTGCCGCTCGTGTGTCGTGCGTGTCTCTTTTCTCGATGTGTATCTTGCTCTTTATTTTCGTCTTTTCTCTCTCTCCGCCTATTTCTTCTCTCTTCTCTGCCATCTCTCGAGTCGGCGCGACCATGGATCGTGCGTGTTTTATTACGATCAAGGGACGGCCGAGGGTCGCGCGTGCATGTCTCGCGCGCTTCTCAAGAAATCAATTAAACGTAGGATAATCACAGAAGAAGGGGTTTCGACGCATGGGATATACGACGTTCTCGTACGTTGGCGGTGCTATCGCTTCACCGCAGCAGCTGTTGCAGCAATGTGCTCATCAACAGGCTACACATCGCCAGGATTAAGTTCTGTGCGTACCGGAACTGCGTAGTATACGAATTCGCGCCGTTATACGTCAGCTCTTCGTTCTTTACCACCTCATTCGGATGATCCGTATATTCCTCTGTAAAATAAGAATAAAAATCATAAGATCATTGATTCCCATTATATCGATAGTGATGTGTATTAACAAAAATATTGAGTTATATCTTGAAAATACAGCACTACTATTAATAGCCAAATATTATCCAACACTATCGACAAAATGCATAGATAGATATTAGCATGTTAAAGAGTAAGCTATGTCATGATCGATAGACAACTTTCGGCCAATTTTCATCCGATCGAATCTTGACATTATGCTTTGCCGATAATTGACAAAATGTGCTTTATAGCTTACATAATTGTAAATGAGAAAGAAACGCTCTGATTTTTACATGTAAATAATTCTTATATATATATAACGTTATAAATAAATATATAAATCTTTTTTTTTACTTCTATAAATGTCATATGATTGAGAAGAGCGGAAATTCATGTCATAAATTAAGGAAATAATGAGTTAGAACTGAAGCACGAATTAACTGGCAAGATATAATTTGCTACCAGTAATAATTGACGGTGTTGTCGTCTTTTATTATTATTTCTACTATAATTTACCAAGAATATTGAAAGGACAGAACAGTGCATAGCTTTATGTACATAATAAGAAGATAATAAAAGATGTGATCGTTCGCTTGTCATAGAATAAAGCTTAATTAAGTACATTAAAAGAGACTTCCCACAGCGTCTAATATAACGAGCGTTGCCAATGTTCTGACTGTCAATTAATATCGATTGATACTCTCAATGATTACTGTAATGCTTTACATTCGAGCGTACATATGTATGATTTAATTACGCCAAGTGTTCTTCAATCATGCAAAAAGAAGCTAACAATTAATTAATTCTTACAAATCTCCTCTTTGACTTTACAGATCTCAATTGACTCGAGTTAATATCAAGCACGGATCAAATACAAGACATAAAAGCGACAAAGCGTTTCGGAACAAGATTTCATCGGACAGGTAAGATAGACATAGTACATAGACAGACATAGTGCAATAGCGATGTGACGACGTGATACGTACTGTTCTTCTTCTTCTGGCCGGTCGAGGTCTTGGGCGGCGTGATCGAGGACGGCGGTCCATTGTGAATCGGCGGCTGCGGCTGATGCGGATGCGGATGCGCGGGGTAGGCCGGCGGAGGCACGTGGGACAGGGTCGGCGCCGCCGTGCCCGGCTGATGATGATCAGGACGATGATGAATGCTGCCCCCCGGGTAGAATCGATCTCCGCCCCTGTAGACGATCGGCGGCGGCGGCGGGGGCGGCAGACCGGCGGCTCCGCCGCCCAAAACCGCGGTACTCGTGGAGCTGCTGCTGGGCATGGTGCTGCTGGTCACGGCTACGGCTGGAAAACGGACAGCATTGAATCGGTCATTACGCGTCTCTCATCCGTTCATCCGTTCGCGGTCCGAGTCGCGCAGGTGCCGAGGAATAATTGGTGAAGCGATTACGGTTATCAGCAGTGAACATTGAGAAACGAATGGGCTGAACGGGATGAGGCTTATTTAAAAGTCGAAGCATAATTTGTACCGTTATGTTTCGAAATGCTCTTGCTTGAAATGACGTTTGAACACCCTATCATTGAATCTTACAAGGATGAACTTCAATAGTATTCGCTTTAATTCAATTATACGATTATTTCCAATAGGAAGAATATGTTATGTGTTGACAGATATATTGTTAACAATTTAGAATTATTGAAGATGACATTTACTTCCGCCTCATATTACTATTTATTCCATCGTGTTTCCATTCGAATATATTTCTCGTCAAACATATATTCATCGAGTTCTTATATTTAATAGATTTTTATAACGTACAGAAAAAAAATGCAACAAAAAGTCCTTCGTTTTTAATGTATAAGTAATTTAACAAAAATAATCTCAAATATAGCGAACCCTCGTCATATTCACACTTTCTCATCGCGAGCCCAAGGATGATTCTCGTATTATTCTGAGCGCATAACTTGACGCTGTAGCTGCAGATTCTTCAGAAATAAAACTCGCGACCGAGAAGATACGCACCCCCCGGCGATATAATTGTATGGAAGTAGCTGCGCGCGAACCTTCGACGTGCGTCTACCGTGGACGCGAGTTCAGGTTTTGCCGTGGAATCTTCAATGCTCGAGACGTCGAGGAGGAGGAGAGTTCAGAGTTCCCGGCCGGCGAAATAGCTGGTCATTATGGCGCATGAATCGTCTCTGCCAGGGCGGAGGTGGCATGAAGAAAAAGAGGGAGAAGAGGGGGAAAGCAGGGGAGAAAGAAGCGAAAGGACGCTTCTCTCGAGGATGCTTCGGAACGAATTGAAGAGAGAAAGAGAGAGAGAGAATAGCGAGGTGAAATGGAATGGTAGAATTTATTGTGCTCCGGGACATAGTGTTGGTCCTCCGATCGCAACAAATAACGCACGGCGAAGATTATAATCGATAGGGATTACTTAAAAGAAAGAGAGAGAGAGAGAGAGAGAGAGAGAGAGAGACAGAAAAAAAACATTGGGAGAAATAAAGACAACTGGATAGAACGATGAGGAGAAAATGAGCTCGAAAGGATAAGCAAACTGGCGAACAAACGAGTACCTGTTATAATAGTTTCTTACGTAACTAATTGCGGGATAATGAATTTACGGTCCATTTCTGTATCGTCCCTTAATCTCTTTTCTCTTTCTATACTTTTTTTTCAGGGCGCGTGTCTTCGATGGAGGTCGCGCGAAACGAGAAAGCGTGAAGAGCTAAAAATGTGATTTACACGCGAAATGAAAAGGCGGTGTCTCTCTTGTAAACGACGCCTGTAATTTTAGATTATGATAATTGAGAAATTAGAATATAATTGCCGCGTGCGAGCTCCCATGGGAAGAAGAGCCTGCATTTCGGATACCGTTTCGTGAATGATGCACAATGCAAATGAGGAGTAGAGCACGTGAGTGAACGAATCATGTTACACGAACTGTTTGCTAACTACCGATTCTCCGTCAGAGAACAAAGGAAATTCACTGCTGGCGTTAACTTCGAAACTTTCAAGAAAATGTTAGATTAAAAAAACAAAATTTAATTTATAGAAACTTGAAACAGTTTTTGCATTTACATCCGCACGCGCGCAACTTAAATTATTTTAAATCATTTTATTAAATCGGATATGCACACATTGATTTCAAAATCAATTATGTCGATATACCCAATATACATGAAAAATTGAATATAAAAATTTCGATATTTCGATATTCTAGTAAAATTTATTTCAAAAGAGATAAATTAAAAGAATTTGAAATTTATATTTGTAACAATAATGACCAAAACATATGTGCTAAAACGCATATAAAGTTTTTATAAAACATTTAATTATTATATACGTCGTGTCAACCGTGGTTGAAAAAAAATTCTATTTAATTATATGAAAAATAATGCCTTTTTTGTTTATAAATTAATTCTCGTGTTCTTTGATCTTTCGCTACGACATATCTATTCTAAATACTTACAATTGTTGCGCGATGTCGCCGACGAGGATGAGGTGTCGGCCTCATTACCACAGCAGACCTTGAAGACGACCTTCATGTTGTGGCTGGTGCACCGTCCGCCGATGCGCCTGTGGAGGTCGTCCTTGGACGAGGTGCTGATGAAGTAGTAATCGTGGCCCGGGAGGAACTCGAGGCCCCCGGGTTGTGGCGTGAACGGCCTGAAGGTGATGGTGAAGTACATCATTTTGCGCGGCTTGTCGCACACCGCTATTACCCGCGGACTGGGGTTCGTTATCCGACATGTCTCGTACTCCTCCTTGGACACCTGTAAAACGTCCAAGAGGAATCGTGCAGTCGGATGCGACGGTATAATCGATCGGTGATGCGTAGTGATCGCCGACATTAATCGCTGATTGACTGCTGTGAAAGATGCCATCCTGGCATCTCCCCAGCGAACCGATTCCCGTGTTCTTCTTCAGAAGAGGGCTTCATTGTCGGAGCTAATCGTCGTGTAGGAAGAACGACGGAGACAATGGGATAGCTGATGGCGAAGCGCAGAGGGACAATCAAGTGGACTGAAGCGATTAAGTCGCCGTCGAATAGTCTTTGAAAGATTTTGCTTTGCTCGAGAGGATGGAATGTTCCATGGTTATATCTGTAGAGTCGAGAATCGACCGCAATATCCGGAATTGGCTCTCGAATGAAAGTTTATAAGAATGTACGTAATCGAATATGCAAGATTTGTGAATTTTCGCACGTTCTGATATTAATCACTTTTGAAGCGGAATCAACATTTAATCGAGAATAATTACTTGTATTTCTGTGGTAAACAAAAATTCCAATATTTTTAGTTATTTCCAAATAATGAATTAAATAATAAAAAGTAAATTCTGTAATTATTTTTTAAATCCAAACATAAAACCATGCATCTCGAACAAAAATTAAAAATAGAAAAAAAGGACTCACGTGTAAAGTTATCTAATACTTGTACATCTAATCATTCTTTTAATTTATCGACATTTCACTAGCATAATATGCTTGTTAAAGGGCGGATGTCGTTTTGAAAATATAATGGAAGCTGCTTACTTAAAGAACCAGTTTCAAGTAGTAACAGCTGTCTAAACATTGATAGAAATTTGATGGATTTTTTTCTGTTTATATATCTGATCATGTCATACATATATCACGTAATATTTTTATATTCATTATTTAATAAATTTTCAAAGATAAAAGATATAAAGTAATTAATTTTTCAAAGAATATTAAAAAAAATAAGAGATAATAATGCATTAAATATTGTATTAAAAATTTTGTAAAAAATAACGTTCACAGAGAGAATATTTTTACTTTCATCACATAACTAATTAATGTCTTCTTTGTATGCTAGCGATATCAATATTAAAATAAATATTATGAAAATGAACTTACGTTATAAATAATGTACTTTTCAGCATCGTCATCAACATACGAGTCCGGCGGATATACCGGACATATTATATTGACTTGATCATACTCGAACGCTGCATTATTCTTGTTTACGTCGATTATATGATCTGTATTGTCTATTCGAAATCTGCAACAGAAAAATAGAATCATAAATAAATCGATCGAAAATACAAATTTTATTACAAATTCACATCTTATTCTAATTAATAATAAAGGAATAACAAGTGCGGTTTTACAATATTATTTATTCTATGTATACGTGCGACGCGATGAAGCATTTTAATATTTTCATATTTTTGTTTACATGATACATTGAGAGATAATATAGGTACATAAAAGAAATAAATATTTTTCTGTTACTTTCAAAGTATGACATATCGAAATTCTCTCACACGTTTTGCCTGAAAATATATTTTCAAATCTCGATCAAAAGTCTATAGCAAACTTTTTTCGAGATAAAGATTGTATTATATTTTCTGCAGTCTATGATGATACCGTGCATACCGCTGTTTTCCAGCGCATACCGAGTTCTATCCGTAAAACGTTCGCGAGATGCCGACGCCTCGAGAGATGAATTCTCGGAGGGAACGAGAGAGATAGAGCGAGAAAGCTAGCGTCCCTACGGCCTGTCGGTAGCCAGGTCAGGAAACGGAGAAAAAGAAAAGAACTCGCGAACTCGCTCTCGTACCCAACGTCAGATAGGCAGGCGCCTATGGTGTCGAAGCATCGTGCAAATTGTACGTACCGACCACTACAGAGTGTCTCAAAAACAATCCATTAGCTCCTCTTACGTGGAAACCTTATGGAAATTATTTCACGAATAAATCAAACATTTGAATTATTACAATCTTTTTTAATATGTTATTTTTTTCAATATCTTAAAGATCTCGTTTTATATTGATATATCTTGTAGAATCCACATAAAGTAAAAAAGAGAAAACTTTCATCATCTGTTTAGGACTCAATTGAGATACTTCCACATTGAAGTCATCACGATTTTATTCAGCTTAGCCTCCTGGATCTTAGTTCGGACACCCCATACATTTATGGGCGCGAGTATGCGTTAGCTAGCAATCGTACACGCGTGCACACAACACACACACACACACACACATACACAATGCGCGGGCGTACACGTCGCTGCATTATGTGGCGGTGAGTTTGCCGGTGAGGATGTACTCGGTAAGGATGAGGGAACGAAAGGTCGGCGGATGATAGGAAGAAGAGGAGTAGGTGCAGAGAGAAGAGGTGGCGGACGGTTCCTATATAACCGGTTCTTTCACCGTGAACACTCTCGCACACGCTAATACGCGTTCCGTAAGTCGCAGCGTACGTAACAGCGACGTCCCCCTATTTCACGTCATCCATCTATTTCGAATTCGAGTCGGCAAGAACTGCGTTATCGTCCAATTAGAGCTCGACAAAATTCAATATGCATTTAAAATTCTGTATATCTATATTCTATATATCACACTTATTTTTAATTACATATTTTTATTTTCATGTTTAGATAATAATTTTTATATAAACATTATACATATAATATATATATATATATATATATATATATATATATATATAATATTATATTATAATAATTTTATATTAACATTTACATAAATGTACTCGTTATTTATCTCAAAATATTTATCTATGTACGATCAATGCATCTTTTATAAAATACAATATTTAATTATAATACACGTACAAATGAATAAAATGCATCTTTTGTGTCGACGGCCTGGTTTCGTTAAATACTAGTACATTTCACATCCGTGTTGCGGACGTCGGGCATTGTGTCGCCTTTTATTTTGTCGTTTTTCACTCACGAGTCTCGTTCTCGTTCTCGTTCGCGATTACGCGTTTGTGATGCACGCACTGTGTATGATGCATCTACTTTTTGCGCGCGCATTATTATAGGAGCGCATCCAAGCCGCATGATGCGGAGAGCTTTACAAGCGTATAACCGTATTTAATCTTTATCTCTCGCTCTTTCTTATATACGTTTGTTTTCGTGTTGATACATATATATCCTTACACGTGTTTAGAGTTATACGAGTCGACACTACTACGCGCGCACATACGGTAACAGCGTATAAATATTTCTGTTATTTTTTGTACCACATTCACGTGCGCTTCCGCGGTTGGATCGAGTATAGTCGGTCACGGATGATATAAACCGTAAATCGTATCCATTTATCTTTTTCCCATATGTGTATATATTTTCAGTTTTTATTATAAAGTTCATTCTTTTTATCAATAGACACTCACCAATTCTCGATATTAAATTTATGCAAAATGTACAAGTCAATTTATAAGAGCTTTAAAAAATCCTTAAATAGTCATATAAAGAAATGGATCCATTTATCTTTTTCCCATGTGTATATATTTTCAGTTTTGATTATAAAGTTCATTTTTTTTATCAATAGACACTCACCAATTCTCGATATTAAATTTATGCAAAATGTACAAGTCAATTTATAAGAGCTTTAAAAAATCCTTAAATAGTCATATAAAGAAATGTATCCATTTATCTTTTTCCCATGTGTATATATTTTCAGTTTTGATTATAAAGTTCATTCTTTTTATCAATAGACACTCACCAATTCTCGATATTAAATTTATGCAAAATGTACAAGTCAATTTATAAGAGCTTTAAGAAATCCTTAAATAGTCATATAAAGAAACATATCCATTTATCTTTTTCCCATGTGTACATATTTTCAGTTTTTATCATAAAGTTCATTTTTTTTATCAATAGACGCTCACCAATTCTCGATATTAAATTTATGCAAAATATACAAGTCAATTTATAAGAGTTTTAAGAAATCTTTAAATAATCATATAAAAAAGCGCACCTTTCAGAGTTACTTTGTGACTTGATTTGTAATTTTCGCTCTCCTGATTATAAAGACAAAGATATGTCAAAACCGATAGTTTTAGCGCGAATCCCTCTTATTCTCAGTCACAGGATTATGATAGAGCAAGTAAATAGGTCGACCGTAAATTTGTCAAAGGCGACACACGATCCTCAATTTTGATATAAAGCTCTTCGAGAGAGCCCGCCCGCGTCTACAAGTCACGCTTGTCACGCGGGACAAGCACGACGACGCTGTTACAGAGGGAAACGCGGGCGTCGGATGTACGCGGTTCCGACGTTTCGGAGCGTTAACGGACAATCTCATAAGTGGGCGTGTAAGGGCTCGAAAATTGGAAGGTAGGCCGGACCTTGGCTAAATTAACGTTTGGCGATAATATCCGCTCTCTCTCTTTCTCCTTTCTTTTTTTCATCGTTTTCCTCCATCAGTCCGTCGATCTGGTATTCTTAAATAAGCGCAACAACGGCACATGTGTAGCGAATACGCGTAGGCGTATAGAACGTTTCGTGTTTCGCGACTTGGCCATTGCTTATTAAAGATCATACGTAGCAGCCTGAATTACTCGTGATAAAATCGCATCATTTTCTCATCCTCTCGTCCCGAACTGCCTGGCATCCTAAAAGAGTGCGGTTAAAAGAGCGAGAGGCTTTCAGCCAGACGTCGTCGTCGACGTCGTCACGAATAATGTATGCGGAGGAGGCGATTCCAGCGAGAGCGACTTTATCGTCGTTTCCGCCAAAACACGTAGCCAAACGTGTTTAACTTTTTTTGCCTCGTTGTTTGCCGACCGTTCGTTCCTTTACAAGAATTTTTTATTTGCCCAATTATTGCTACCGCCGGGTTAGAGACCTAGAGAGGAGCCCTTGGTCGCGTCTTCCTCTTAATCGCCAAAGTTCGACCGGTCTTTTCTCGATCGTTTCGCTACTCGTTGCTGACGTTGGCGTTTCCTTTTTTTTTTTCACGCGACTATTTCGATACCAACGAGCTATAAAGATCATCCTCTTGGCTTTTCGAAAATTCCTCCTTTTCGTTCTCCGCTGTTCTCTCCCTTTCTAATCATCACAAAATGCGTCTTTTACATCGGCTGAATGTATTATTGGTAATCCCAATAGTGATTTAAGACTCTCCCCTCCGGGAAACGATGCCATTTGCATATATCTACGTATTCGTAGAAGCGCTCGAGTACCCTCGTATTAATGTGATATCTTGCCTCGGTCCTTAACAGTTCTTTTCTGGCCTTAGATAAACACTCGACATGAATATGTATGCCACCTCGCCGGTGACCCGCGTTCAAAAGTACTACGCAATGGACATTGAGCCTCACTTCGTGGTCACGCATCTTTTATGCGGTCATCATAGTAGAACCTAACAATATGTTATTGAATACGCGTATTATTCGGTGATTCTTTATATTGACCTAGTCTTGCAAAACAACGAATAACGGTATTGAAATAAGCACAGTACGAAATCTGACGTCATCTTTTCATAGATAAGAATGAGCAAGTGTGGGAGATGCTCCTGTTTTTTTTTTTTTTTTTGAAAATGTTTATCATATTTAAGATTATTAGTATTCAATGAAGATTCCTTTCTAGATGATAAAATAATATTAATTTAAATGCTAATTGGTGAATATTGAGTTAATGCTGATTATATGACGCGATGCTAGAATATTGTTTTTTTTATTGTTTTTTTCTATCTGATATTCATATAGGATTAAATAAATAAACAAATGTATCTGATATTCACATAGGATTAACAAATAAACAAAAAATTGAATCACAAATAATGCAACAATATACTAGATGTATAAATTTAAAATGCACTCACATAACAAGGAAACAAATTTTTTAATCACGTGTGGCGCATAATTTTTAGTAATAACATTTTATCACATCAACGAGACATCGGTCGAATATATTTGAGCAGCAATTTTCACACGCACACACGTACACACAAAGTGATTTCCGTACGAATACAAAAATGAATTTAGTCGCCAACATCGTACACTCCATTTCCAACTGTCTTCATTAATTCCCACCACTATCTAGTCGACGCCAATCAACTACCCAGTAAACCCTGTGAGAGGGTCTTCCTAATTGGAATCGCGAAAAAGTGGGCGTGTTCCAATGGGGTACAGCATCGTTTCAGGTCGCTCCTGCGGAATTCCTGTCAGCCATTCGACGATGGCAATTTTCTATCCCACTAATTTGAACATCAATAACTTTGTACATTTCTTAAATGTCTTTAT